GGGTCGAGTGCTAATGAGTCCATCTGATGTACTTGGGTTGGAGGCTGTGTGTGTGTGTGTGTGTGTGTATATATATATACACACACACACACACAAATGGGCGATGTATATTAAAAACAGTGTTTTCTAAAAAAGTAAATTCTTAAATGGAGATGACGAAAGTTAATTTTGGTATTTTATAGCAGTATTTACAAGTCAAGTAGGTAACTGACTCTCAACTTCATCTTTTGATTAGAGAATGCTAAGAAGTGATAAAATTAGTTATGAAATGGCTGAGTAGAGGAATTATGAATATCCACTCTCTGAAAATCAGGTTCTTTGAAGGTGTCTGAAGTTAAATGCTGAAAAATTGAAATATGCCAAATCACTAGTCACTTTTGAAAATTTAGGCTCATGTTTTTACAGGAAGTGTATACAGTTAAAAATCTAATGCTTTAATTCTCATTGAAAGTCCCCTTCTTCTCTCTCTCCTCCCCCCCTTCCTCCCCCCCCCCCCCAAATAGCAAGCACTGTTATAATAGCTTTAGGTGGGAAGATAAGCTATGTTTATGAAATATAAATTACATTTTTTTAAAGAATAAAGATTATTTTCAAAGTGATCATTCTTCATGTTTTTCCTCCCAGCTTGAATCACTCATAACTGATGCTTTTAAGGGAAAGGGATTTCAGAAAATAAATGAACTGTTCGAAGAAAAAGAAATTTACCCTCCTCAAAAATACAGCAAACAATTGTTTAACCAACTTGACAAAGTGTTGAAAAAGGCAAGTTGGCTAACTTATACTGTATCATTTTAAGACTCAAATTAAATAATTAACATAATTGGCTAAGATAGTAATCAAAATATGGTGGAAAATGTTTTATAGGAGTTGGACAAGAATGAATTCCAAAATGTTTCCTTGTTGTTGAAATGCATTCAGATGTACTTTAAAAGTGATCCTCAGGAAGGGGCAAGCTTGCTTATTCAGCAAGGGCTGATACCAAAGATAAGTATAATATTCACATTTAGTTCTGTAATCAAATGACTGCAATTTGTTGAGATGGGATTTATTTATTTATTTTATTTTTTTAGAGAAAACATTAGAATGTGACTTCTTAGCTGTTCTGAAATCAAATCCCAGGGATCCTTTTTAATGGATGAAATGAACTAGGTCACCAAACTGAGTAGGGCTTTTTAAAATTGCTTTGTCTTCAATTTCAGTTAAATCTTACATTTGTTTTGCATTGCTTAGAATAGAAGCTAATGACTTTTATGTAGTATTTAAAAGAAAGCAATCTTATTTTTAAAAACTTTGTATAAACAATGCACTGAATACTCACCGTTAACCAGGTTCAGAGGGACAGTCTGCATGTGAGCTGAAATTGTTTCTTTCCTTGCCCAGTTCCTTTTAGGTCCTGCAATGTGCAATCCACTGTCGCAGGCTGCCCAGGTTTCAGAGTAGCAGCCATGTTAGTCTGTATCCGTCTCTAGGCTGCCCAGGTAGCTTCTGCAAAGCCCTTACACGCACCTACTACAAAACCTCTACAGAATCCTAGATCTCCCTGTAACCTATACAGGATGGAGAGATGTCCTTTGTGTATTATTTCACATGGTTTAACAGCATTGCTTTATAAAATAAGAGATGTTGCAAAACCATCAGTTGAGAATAAAAAAAAATTGACTTCCTCCAGAAGAGTTCCCCAATAGCTATAATGTCACCAGCATAGTGTGTGCTGGAGCATCACAGCAGAGCAGGGGTCAGATGCAGTGGGGATGTAGATTTCATGAAAGTCAGAGGAAAGGTGAGTTGCTGAAAAAAGAAACTGCTGCTCATTGTTACTTTTTTCTTAACTAGAGGAGGCAATAATAACACAAAGGACTGTTAAAAAGATGGGATTCTACTAATTTCACTTGCAAGTGACCTTTAATGCAGTGTGGTTCTGCTAAGCTCAGTGATCAAGGAATCTTGTGTGTTTGTGTAATGTATCTAGCCACTGATGCACTTGAGGTGAAAATCCATTCAACTGAATCATTGTTAGCCATCCCTGCTTTATTCATTTATTTTAATTTTTACATGGTATCTTGGTTTGAAAGAGCAAGAGAATTTTTGATCCTCATAGAGCCAGCACAGAACAAATCTCTGCTGAGACTTGTGGAAGATTTCTTTGACTCTGCGTTGGTAAGTACACAATTCAAAAATCAGTTTGCTTTCTTCAATGGAGACGGCCCCTTACTAGAAAGGCAGTTTATTTATTCAGAGCACCACCATTGCAGAAAAGAAACACAAGAATTTGCCTTAAAAAAATGAACACCATTTTTATTTAAATAACTCAACAAACTTAGGAAAAAAAGACACCTAAGGAAACTTTTGGCACCCTTTTGTTGTTTCTTGAGAAATAAATCTGAGGTAAAGGACTGTTGTAGCTCAGAAAAGCACATCAACACAGAATTTGCATAGTGGTGTTATGCCTTTTCCTTGAATGCTCCCCTCACAAATGTGTTCCAAATTTTGAGATGTTCCTAATGTAATAGCAATTTGAGGGGTTAGAATTGTGTATGAGTATCTCGTACAATCCTAGGTAGTCTAGGAGGCATCTCTTAAAAAGCCCCCCCTTTAAAAAAGGAGACGTGACAATGGGGTGGCTATGACTAATTTGGATTTTAATGCATGTTAGTGCTCATTTTTATGAACAGGTAGTTGTGCCCTGATGGGCACCCTATCTAATACTTCTAGAGTAAGTTAAATGTACTGTCTGTTGATCCCTTTAACCATACCTGATGGTTGGGAATTTTCCATCAATGTTTTTTTGATGAAAACATAGATCCTGCAAAATAACAAAAATCAAAATTTTCTAGTGGATTTTTTTTGACACTCTTGTACTTCACCTCTCCCAGAAATAAAAAGAAAATATTTCATGTCAGGCTGATCCAAATTGAAACATTTTGGTTAGTCAAATAGAATTGAAATGTTGACCTAAGCCAAAATGAGACATGTAATCTGTCTCCCTGAGCTGCTGCAATGCCTCATGAAAATTGTAGTGAAGGTGACTGATGCCCCAGTCTTCCTTTCTGGTTTGCCTGGCCAGACTACCATGGTCTCCGCCTTTCTGTAACTGCCATAACATAGAATGGGAGTCCTGTGATCACAGTGAATAACAGAAGATATAGTCTGGCCATTCAGGGAGAGACAAATTTAATCTTGAATAAGGGCTAAACAAAATGTTTCAGCATTATTGAATAGACACTTTTCTGAACATTCCACTCCACACAAAAACAAATTGACTTTTCATTCCCCAATTTAGGACAAAAACAAATGTTGAAATATCAGAATTTTCTGTGGTTTAGAAATTTCCATCTTCAATCCGCTCTAATTTCTCTTGTTTTCATTGCAAATGTGATTAAAATAATTATTAAGCTTTGGGGTGCTAAGGCTTTGACTATCAGAAAATTTTTCCCCCCTTCTTTCTTTCTCCCCTCCCCTCCATTATTGAGAATTGGAAAGTGGGTTGTATAAGTGATCTTGCAATATATGTGTATATAGACGTCATACCCTATTTTGCTGTACATGAGCTGAGCTGTACAGTGAAGTCTACATATCAAAATCTGTTTTGAACACAGTAAATTAGCAATTGCAGGTAATCATAATCGAAGACTTCCTATAATTAAGACATTTTAAAAGATACTTTGGCAGAGCTAAATTTTCTTGTTCGGGGCTCTAATAAAACCAGAAATGGAATTATATCCATAATTTATGCATGGTTGGAGATGGAAGGGGCAATTAATATATTTTAAAAAATAAAAATACATAATTACATTATATTCTGGTTTGTCTTCCTATCCTCAGTTTTTAGGTCAGTTCCTTTTGTGTTCCTTCATTTGTGTCCATTCATAAATTCCAAGGCCAGAAAGGACTATTGTGATCTAATCTGACCTCCTGTATAATACAAGCCACAGAACATTCCCCAAAATAATTCCCAGAGCAGATCTTTTTAGAATAAACCCCCAATCTTGACTTTAAAAATTGTGAGTTATGGGCAAGCCACTGTGACCCTTGGTGAATTGTTCCAATGGTTAATTACTCTGTGTTAAAAATGTACGCTTTCTTTTCAGAATTAATTTATCTAGTTTCAACTTCCAACTATTGGATTATGTTACAGCTTTCTCAGCTAGATTCCAGAGCCAAGTGTTACATATTTGTTCCCCATGTAAATACATATAGACTGTAATCAAATCACCCCTTAAACCCTCTCTTTGTTAAACTAAATAGATAAGCTCCTTGAGTCTAATCCCTATGAATATGTCTACACAGAAACGAAATGCCCATGGTTGGCCCATATCAGTGGACTTGGTCTCATTCAGTGGGGCTATAAAATTGCAGCATAGACGTTCAGGAGTGTGCTGGAGCCCAGGTGCCCAAAGTCGAATGTCTACACTGCAATTGTATAGCCCCGCAGTCTGAGCTCCATGAGCCCAAGTCTGCTGACATGGGTCAACAGCGGATATTTTATTGCAGTGTAGACTTACTCTATAAAACATGTTTTCTAATCTCTTAATCATTCTCGTGGCTCTTCTCTGAATTCTTTCCAATTTATCAACATCCTTCTTCAATTGTGGACAACAGACCTGAACACAGTATTGCAGCAGTGGTCCTGCCAATGCTAAATACAGAGGTATAATAAACTCTGTACTCCTACTCAAGATTCCCTTTTTATGCATCCCAGGATCTCATTAGCTCTTTTGGCCACAGTGTCACCCTGGGAGCTCACCACGCCTCTTCCCCCCGGGGGATCACACTAGAAACACACTTGTTAAATGATCATTCCCTATCTGCAGTTACATTTTGAGACCTTCATTTAGGCAGTTTTTAATCCATTTAATGTGTGCCATGTTAATTTTATATCATTCTAATTTTTAATCAAAATGTCATGCAATACCAAGTCCAAAGCCTTACAGAAGTCTAAATATATTACATCAATATTATTACAGTTATCAACCAAACATATGATCTTATTTAAAAAAAGATATGAAGCTAGTTTGACAGCATCTATTCTCCATAAACGCATGTTAATTGGCATTAATTGCATTACCCTTTTAAAATTCTTTATTAACCGAGTCCCATATCAGCCATTCCATTATCTTGCCCAGGATCGATGTCAGGCTGACAGGCCTATAATTACTCAAGTCATCCCATTTCCCCTTTTTAAAAAAATAATTGACACAACATTAGCTTCTTTTAGTCTTCTGGAACTTCCCCAATGCTCCAAGAATTATGGAAAATCAACATTGATGATGAAGTGAGCTCCTCAGCCAGCTTTTCTAAAATTCTTGGATGCAAGTTATCTGGACTTGGTGATTTAAAGAAGTCTAACTTTAGTAGCTTCTGCTTAACATCCTCCAGAGCTACTAGTGGAATGGACAAAGCGTTGTCGTCATATATGATGATATCATCTTTTTCCCCCCCAATACAGAACAAAATATTTAATACTTCTGCCTTTTCTACATTATTGTTGATAATCCTACCATTTCCATCTAGTAATGAACTGATACCATTGTCAGGATTCTGTTTGTTCCTAATACATTTTAAAAACTCCCTATTATCACTAACTCTGCTGGCCATAAATTCTGATTTATATTAATTACTATCAATTTACCCTTTCTTCCATTTGTTATATTATTTTATTTTTAAAAGCAACCTTCACTTCCCCTTTAAACCAGGTCAGTTTGACTTTCTAAAACTACTTAAATTTCCCCCAGAACTTCAGATACTGTTCAGATATCAATGTCTTGTTATGACATTTAGCACTATACCATACAAGTTTCAATGGTGTTTATATATACAAATAGATGGCAAAAATAACCCTTTTCCCACTATGGTTTGGGTTTTCAAAGGAACCATGTCTAAGGGAATTAGGCACCCAACCCTCCTTGACGTTTGAGGACTCCATTAAGTGCTTCTGCAAATCTCAATAAGTGCTTCTGCAAATCTCAATATATAAGTTTTAGTGAACAATTTTAATTAATGTAACTGCAGCTTCTGAAGGGTTTATCTGGATGTAAATTTGAAGTTAGTGTCTCAGAAATGCCAGTGAGGGGTGAGTGGGATGGTGCTGGCTGCATAAACACATAGCGGTTCACTTTACTAACACTGTTTGTTTATTATTACTGTATCCAGTATGTAATCCAGATTCCCCTCTTTCTTTCTCTCCCTCCTCTCCCCTCCGCCCCAAATCAGGTCATTTGCAAATGCAACAGTGAAGGTCAGTAATTTCCCAAATACTTTTATTCTGCACATGTCTCAGTAACCTTTTCTTTGTATCATTTTTTTAAAAGGGGGGGGAAAATAGATCTTATATGAGTAAGAGTTCATCCAAAGCCACATGTATAACTATTTACAGGAAATTTTACTGTAACATGCAAATAAGAGTGTTAAACCTTTTTAGTAACTATTGGGATATACTGAGAACATGTAGCCTTGCTAGTGCTACAACTAAAATGAAATATTTTCTTTCAAATTGTTGGTAGTAAGTAATTAGCTTGTTCCAAGGTAAATGGTATTCATGAAATGGGTTTAGTATAGTCAAAATCCTGATGTTGTTTTCCCCCTCCCTCTCCACAAGAATATTTAAAAAAAAAGATCATTTGCCACTGAAAATGGCTGTGTAGTTTTTAATTTGTCTGTGTCTAGAAACTAGAATTCTGGGTTAATAAGAATTGCACAAAGGAATGATCTATATGGGCATCCCCATGGAATAAGAGATAAGTTGCTTACTCCTCTTCTAGCTGCTATTTTTAAAGCAGAGGAGAAATGGCATTATTCAGAACATGCTTGTCTAATAGCCTGGTCTACACACTTTTTGGATCAATTTAACTACTTTGGTAAGGGGTGTGATTTGTCTACTTAAATAGTTAAATTGGTACAACCCCTCTAGATGGGTGCAGTTATAACTATATAAAGGTGACTTCTATCTGAATAGCTTATTCCCCTTACCATGTAGAAAGCCCCCTTATACTAGTATAACTGCATCCAGTCTAGGCGATTGTACTGTTTCAACTATACTGATGTTGCTAAAATAGTGCAATTCTGTGTGTAGACAAGCCTTAAGCCAGATGTAAAACTTTGACTGTTCTCCTAGGAAAGAAACAGTTGCTGGATTCATTCTTACCTGACCTAGGACAGCTAGTGACTGAAACAAAGGTTGGCTGTGCACTTCGGCAGGAGGTGAGACTCAAATGAGAATACAAACTACAAATGTATGTAAATTATTTAAAAAAAACGAAAACAAAACCCACACACAACGTTTTTTAATGGCTTATTTCTCCTCTTCTCCATACTGTCTCTTTCCCCCATCTTTCCTCTCTTCCTCCCCCCCCCCCACCTCCCCACAAAAAAATCCCTGCAAAAAAGGCTTTGAGGACTCTGAACTCCATGCTGGACAGTGTACCACGGGAAGAGAGAAGAAAATTTCCTATGTCTGAAGAAATGTGTTCGCTTACGTAAGTATCTCTACAACAACTGTAACATTTGTTGCAGCAAGAAAAGCATTTAGTTATGGGGTGTAATTTTTTTTTTTTCAACAATCTGAGGCCATAATCTATAGATAGAACCTAATTGGTGAAAAGCTGATGGATTGTACAAGTATGGATAAAAGTTGTAAGCTTTTCATTTTATTTTAATGAGTGGTTGCACTTTTGTTCAACTTTATAGAAAAAAAATGTATTTTTTACTGTCCATATGCTTTGAATGGATTAAAATGGAAAGAAAAAACATTAATGGATTATGTTGTTTCAGGAAAGATCTGGCAAAAACAATTCTGGAGGTTGGTGGTAAGAAATATTTAGTCATTTATTTTCATGAATTGAAGCTCTTTCCCCTAAAATCCCTAATGAATTGTTACTTTGTTATACTTCATATTGTATTTTTAACTTTTTGAATAGGATTGTTGAGGAAAATAAAAAATTAAGATGAAATATATTTTAGGACAAATTCATTCTTAAACCAAAAAGCTACTAATACTGACCTTAAAAACACTCAAGTAATTAAATAGTAGGAAAGGTTATGCTGAGGTACAGTAAGTCAAAACTGAACTGGTGGGAGATCAGCGTCAGGTGGTAGCATTTTGTTCTGTTAGCCTGCTAAGTGGTTAAGAAGTCCATCTTCCTGTTAACATTTTAAAAATAAAACTTATGAGTTTCATCTGTTTTTTCCAATATAATAGCTTTGACCAAGTAAATAATGTAAATGTAGATCATCGCCTTTCTCTGTAATAAAAGCATTTTGAGGTATCTGTGTTTTGGTAGGTGAAATAACAGCCCTAAGGAGTTTTGGAGGTGAAGTCCTCTTCCTTTTTACTTCAGGGAATGTCTCCAGACACTCATGCACAGAGAGTTAACAGTGCACGATAATTGGTTGAATAAAATAAAGGGACTATATAAGATCTCAAAATAGCTTGTGATATTTTGCAGGACAGTTTGGCTTTTGTCATCACTGAATCAAAGCACCAGCTTCTTAGGATAAAATTTAATGCAGTGGGCTGATATTCATTAAGCCATCATATTAACCTTCTGTTTTTTTGAGGGACGCTTCTATTCTTGTATTTATCACATGTAGATTATGACCTTCAGGTTGCTCTTTCGGAAGCACTGTGTAGGCTGATAACAAAAAAATGGAGGGATGACCTTGTTCACAACTGGTTTGAAGATGATTATCTTGCTGAAGCTTTCAAAGAGATAAAGGATAGAGAATTTGAGACGGTAAGGGTCCTTATTTTGAAAACAAAAACTGACAGTTCTATATAGGGGTTAGTTTCATCTGGGTTTAGTATATAAAGTTCCTGATAATGTCAAAGAGAAGTTTTAATGTCCTTGTAAGAAATTGGTTCAATTACCTTATGTTAATACAATTAATGACAATGTATCCTTCAGTAAGCTGAAGAAGAAATTTCATATTGTTATGATTATGTACTTTTTTAAATGCTATTTATTTAAAAATATTAATTACAAAATAGAACTAATCACCTGGAATAGAGGCTACAAGAACAAGTACAGTCGTGCCTTGCTTTCTCCTTCTTCTTACACCAAACCTTATACAGTTAAATCATACTTTAGGACCAGATTCTCACAACCCTACTTCTTAAATAGTCCTAATGCGAGTAAGATGTGACTCACTGTAAGTAAGGACAGCTGACTCAAGCCATTTGGATCATGTCATCTGCTATTAGATATGTCTTGTCAAGTCTCCATCTTATGTCAAGCCCTTCTTTTTTTTTTTTAAATTTGTGCTCAAGACTTCTCCACATGCATCCTCTCATTCCAGAGTGGCCTAACTTATTCATCAAAGCTTTATATCCGCGCTAAAATGCCCTTTCCCACCACTAGAAAACGAATGTAGTATAGACAGTTACAGCAGAAAGAGGACAGATTATGCTAAGATGCAAGCATGCGGGACCATTCTACCTAGGCATGTAATGTGCCCTCAATTCAGTGAAGTCAATGAACGACAAAAACGTAACAATAACATTCTTTTCTGTAAAGAAAATTGCTCAAATAGAATATGAATATAAATAACCACGGGGAATTACTTTTTAAATGACAAGCCATTTAGTGTTGTCTAGCAGCTCAAGAAAACTGAGCAGAAGCTTAATGTGATATGGTACATATAATTTGGATAGAGAGTTTTTTCCTATTATGGGCCCAATCCATCTCTCACTGATTTCAGTGGTAACTAAACTAAGCCCCCTAGAGAACATACATTAGTTTGACCTGTGATGTTACAATATGTTCTCTTCCTTTGAATTGTTCCCCTTCTCTCAAGTGTTCCCGTACTGACTTGTGTGGTTCCAATGTGGGCTTTAACTAAATTGGGTTTGAATCAACTGATAACTCCAACTATACTAACAGCTTGGGTTTGGATCATTCAACAGTGATCCTGTGTATGGTCTTAGTCACTACGCTATTTGCCCAACAAAATATTGCTTACAAGTGTAAACAGTAACACATTTTTGTGTGTGTAACAAGCTGTCCTTTGTTTTGAAGGACTGCAGAAAATTTCTCAATCAACTAAATGACAGACTTGGGGATAAAAAAAGGTAAGTTCTCCACAGTGAACATGGAATATAGTATCTGGCCTGCTAGACAGTCACAGTGACTTTCAATCTATACATATTGGGAAGAAAAATGCAAACCTTTGGTTATGTGGTGTGTAAATTGCAACATGTCTGTAAATGAGTGGCTAATAAACCCCTTTTACAATCCTGGTATCTGCATTTATTTTGATGGAAGAGAAAATTTTCACATCTAAAAACCTGAATTCATTTATTATTATGTGTTTATCAACACTCAGAAAGGAAGTTAATGAGGTTATGCTAGTCACATCACTTAATGCCCTTCTGAAAGGTGCTAAGAAACTGCAGTGATGAGGGAGGTATTCTAGCTTATTCAAGCTCTTCTAAAAGTCTGATGCATAGATTTATAAAAGCTACCAATGGGTGAGAATCTATTTGGTTCAATTGGTCTCCAGTTAGTGCAAAGTGGCTCCTATAAATTTATCTAGCCTTTTTCTCAGTCCAATGTTACACAACCAATGTGCTGAACTACTGATACTTCCCTTGGAAGATTGTTTGTTTACAATATTTAGATATTCATAAAAGAAGGCACTGGGATAATATTATTCTTTCATCTGTACTCATCAGTTAGTATTCCTTCCTTTACTGCTGTTTATAAATGAAATGGTGGCCCACAGGTCACACATTATTTTCTAAAGTACACATTTTAAAACTAACTCTGTAACCTATCAGTGGGTCACCTTACACTTGAAAATAAATTATTACAGTTGATCTCCTCTACTGACAGAATGAACACCCAATACCTGTATAGTATCAGCCTAAAAGGATATTGCAGTCTCTTAAAGGAAAACAAACTTATTTGACTGCTAGAAAAATTAGCCTTTTGATCAACAAGTCTAGAGAGACTTAACCTCTCATTCAGGTTTTTGGTTTTTCATTTAAATTCCCATTCTAACTTGTGTTCAGGAGCAATTTATTATGTTCAAGTATGCTTCTTTTGCAGAGTTTATTCATTTCCCTGCATATCTGCTTTTGCCGACATGGAGGAGGTAAGTGTTTTTATATACTGAGGTGCATTTCTTATACTGTTACTACACTGTTAAAAATGGACAAAATAGCCTAATGTGATTAAAAGATATTTAGTTCTGCTGCATCCTACAACCATGTGAAAGGAATGTTCCTGTACATGTTTGCTTTGTAAACTGCTGTTTTACTTCTCTTTCCATTTTATTGTCTAGTTACCTATTATTTGTGTCAGCCAAACAATAAAGAAGCTGAATAGACTGGTTCTCTCTTAAAGACCATGAGATGAATCAGCTGTTCCTGTAGTAAAACACTAGGAAGGGAACAGGGAGGAAAACGGAGATTCATAGAATATCAGGGTTGGCAGGGACCTCAGGAGGTCATCTAGTCCAACCCCCTGCTCAAAGCAGGACCAATTCCCAACCAAATCAAAACTAAACTAGATTGCCCTTGTACAGTTCCTCCCAAAATGGGTGTCAAAGGGCAAGGTTTGCCTCCCTAACCCCACAGAACAGATCACAGGCTAGCAGCTCACCCTACAGATCCACAAGAGGATCCCTATATCATGGCTAGGTTTCACAGTTCTTTAATTATGTAAGTGAATGTTAAGTACATGGCACTGTGCTCCTTAGAAGGTTATCAAACTAACCTAAGTAACAGAAGTATTAGTCTGAAGAGGCTACCATCAGCTCTGCTTAATAAGTACTGACAAATACATAGGACTTCCTAGAAGCTTGAACAAAACAATTGTGCAGTATTTGCTTCAGTCTTAAGTAAACATTTTTCCTTTGGCTAATATACAGCAATTTTCTACTCTGAAACCAGCAATTTTCTGGTTCTGCTGGCATTGTAAGTCAGTTACAGGCTAGTAGTTCACCTCTTCATACCATTTAGAAACAAATGTAAGTGTTCATGATATGGATAATTTGTTTCTAGTTAAGCTAGTTAACACAGTTGAGGGCACTAGTACTGTATTTTTGTATGGGCTCTTCTGGAAATAATGGCAATGGCTGTTCTGTTTCTTAAGGTGAAGAAGCCATCAGATGAGAAACTGGAGGAGTTTTGGATTGACTTCAATGTTGGAAGTCAAAGTGTGTCTTTCTACATAGACAGCGCTGAGGTAAACATATCCTCTGATTACTTTTTGATTAGGCTAAAATACTTGAAGAGAATTCACTCCCAAATCCTTTTTTTTTTTAGGGTGCTCTTTGGGACTCAGTGAGGCTGCCAAGGGAAGTGGTCAGTAGTTACAGTCTGAGAGGTAAGATTATACAAAGGATATTACCTTTACAATCCAAGTAGCCAAAAGAAACTGCAGATTTATATTCATACCTTACACTGAACTTCCAAGAACTTCCAACAGGATCACAGTTGCCAAGTGTAGTCAGCTGCTAACACACGAAAATTTGCAACATAATTTGAGGTTGAGAGTCTAACTCATAAAACTCACTGTGTGTTTGGCTTTATTTTCTGCAATATATTTAAATAAGAATTGAAATTAAGTTCAATCCACTGTAACAAATAGCATGTTTTTGAAATAACTTTATTTAAGTATTCTGCATATACATAAATGTCTGCTGCTATGAATACCTACCATGAAAATGAATTCTCTTTCCCCAGGGGCCCAATGTAATGCTAACTGAAGTCAATGGAAAGGCTCTCACTGGGAGAGAGAATGGGCCCCGAAAGACTTTTTTCTAAGGCTAACCTAGCAAAGGATACTTTTTAGGGATGTACTAGATTCTGTCTAGCATAGCTAAAATAGAGATCAAATATGTGCTGGGACCATGAAGCAATAAATGCTAATTTAGGCCTCCCCCTACTCCCATGGATGTAATTGGCAGTTCCCTCCCATCGGGGGCAAACATGGATCCTTAGGGGTAAAGACTTCTAGCTGTGATGGTGAAGTAGACAGCCACAAACATGACCTAGCTGCTACAGTTTAGATATGCAGGAGGCAAGGCTGCAGAGAGGGCTCATAGGGGGACTCTGTAACCTTCTGTGTGGTATAGAGTTTAGCTCCATGAGGGCTGTGTCATCTAAGTGCACTGGTTGGTTTATGGAGAGGCCCAGGACATGGTTCATAGACTTATTTGTACCCTGTAAAGAGAGGAGGATAAAACTCGGTGCATAGTCAACATTTATTTACTTTTCAAAAGAGTGACTCTCTTGGTGTGGGAAATGGCATGCAAATTATTTCAGTGGCGCTTTCTGTGTAATTCTAAAGCAGATTCTAATTTCCTTTTTTAAATAGAGGATAACGGAGAAGAGATAGTTAAAATTTACATGAAGAACCCTACTATGATCAATGGCAAAGAAGTAACAAAAATCAAAATACACTTCAGTGCCAAATTTGATATTTTAAATACACTCAATGAAGTTCTGGGAAAAGACAAAATGATGGCAAGTATTAGTTTTCGGCTTTATTGTATAATCCTTTACAGTCATAAGACTTTTTTAACATCCTAGTTAACACCCACTTTTCAAATGCATTGGTTGAAAGTTTAACTAGCCCTGAAGATCTTGGCTGTTAGATTTAACCAGAGAAGAAGAAAAATGTTTGTTTCCTGTTTTGATGCTATGGAAAAATCTTTCAAGCCTTCTTAGTATACCATGCAGTCTTTTTCGTGTCTCCCCTACTGAGGCCAGGTCTAAACTAAAAAGTTCTGCTGGCATAGATATGTTGGTCAAGTGTATGGGAAAACCCCCACATCCTAGACAACATAGTTATGCCAGCAAAACCTTCAGTGTAGAGACAGCTATATTGGCAGGCCAACTCCTTCTGTTGGCATATGCTACAGCTACACTAGGGAGCTTTGCTGGAATAGCTATACCTGTCTAGTTATACCAGCAAAGCCTATGTAGTATAGACTAGTCTTTAGTCTTCTACACTAGAAATTCAGGTTGTGTCTACCTGGTCTTCCACCAGAATACTGGACATGAACTCAAGTTAATGCTGATGTCTGCACTCTTACGGATATCTGTAATTTAAATGTTCCTTCTCCTTCTAATGTTCAGTAACTGTCCATATGTAAGTTAGATGCTGTGGCACTTTGACCCAAAGGGAAGACATTCCCCGCCCCTTTAAAAAGTTTCTTTCTAATGCCCAAAAGAATGGCTGTGTTTAGAAGGTGAGGCCTTGAGCTACTACTGGCTGCCTAATAATGGGTTTGTTTACCTGCATAGTTGAATCAATAAGAGTATTTAAGTTTATCCTATTATTGCGCTTTGAAGTACATCATTCTATTTAGATAAATGGGTAACCTAAAAATACAAATGTGTTTTCTTGTTGGCTCATAGTGTAAAATGGACCATGACATGCACATTGGGGAAAAGAGAAGCTTGTGGGTCCTGCAAAATTCAAATGTTCAGATGAAAGTAAAAACTATGATCATACTCTGTAAATGAGACTCTATGGGCAAGGAAGGAAGGAAGACTGACTTTGTTTTTTTTAAGTACTTGGGAGAAACTTGCATTATGGAACCCATAGAAGTACCTAAATACCGAGGGAATAAAGATGTGTAGTAAATGAGCATACTTTATCCTGGCAGCAGAGTAAATTATTTCCAAGTACTGACTACAGTAATACACTGAGAGCAACAACATTATATGTCACTAGCATTATTCAATGCTTTGTTACCTAAAATATTTCTGTATAAGAATTCTTGGATAAAGAATTCTGGTTTGTTTTTGTTTTTTGTTTTGTTTTTGTTTTTCACAGAATCATAGAATATCAGGGTTGGAAGGGACCTCAGGAGGTCATCTAGTCCAACCCCCTGCTCAAAGCAGTACCAATTTTTTTAAAGATAACAGTAATGTTAGATTAGTTTACACCAACAGATCAAGACTGATAGAGAGGATCTCATTGGCACCGAGGAACAAACAAAGCAAAATGGAACATGTGAGTTTTTAAAAACCTAGATTTCCTGTAGCTGATGAAATTCTAAGAATTATGAATGACGCCAGAAAATGGCATATTCTCCCGAAAGCATCAGCAGCTGTAGAGATTTTCACTTAAAGTAACTTTCTACATAAGTTCCATAGTGATTAGATCTTTAATAGTGGGAACTGAGATACTGTTGATGAAATCATACGGCTATACTGAAAATGTCTCAAGACAAAAAGCAACATTAATGAAGAGGTTCAAAATTGCAAACAGGATTTAGCAGCTGAAGTAGAATTTATGCCTTAAAAATATCTCTGGAAGATGGACGACTCAAATATGAAGTCTTAGCATTAGTCTCTAAAATGTAAGTTTTCTATGAATGAGAAGACTGGGTAAAAATTTCAAAAGTTCACTTTGGGACTTACCCTCCAAAGTCACCTAGGCACCTCAAAAAGTTTTACCAAGTCATCTTCAATAAGAACACCAGTAAGTGCATTTTGGGCTTCCTTTCGTTTCCAGAGCTGCAATGTTTTCTTGCAGTTCTTATGGTTACGTTTTTTTTTTCCTGCCTTGGAGACTCTTAATGATGCTGAGTCCAATTTATTTTCAAATTAAATCCTGGTTCCAAACTTTGCAATTGAAGAAAAATAAAGCATTCCTAATAAAATCTTAAAACTGTAGACCTTCTCATAACTCATCTTGCATATTGAACCCATGGAATGGTTACTTGTTTTGGCAAGTAAATCTGCCTCTTTGATTTTGTTTGTATAATATTATACGGCCAAATTCAGAAATAATGCAAGTAGTTATACATTGGTAAATTGGGGCTTACCTCTTCTAGAAAACTAGGTCATGTTACCTTGAAGTCATACTAATGAACAGATTAATCTCATTTTTGCAGTCAATATTGACAGGTACAAATTTGTTTAACACTTTGTCACCTGGACTTGGGTAAAACCCCTAATTTCTGTTGGGTATATCACAACCCGTTGATAAGATGTTAAACATGATTTGTCCTTGTTCACACTAACTGCAAAGGCTCTAATATTACCCAATTTTCTAATAAAGACTAGACCTTGGTGCTGTCTTTATATGCTGATGGGGCAAAATACTGCAGGAAGGTGTAAGACAAAGAAGGCACCACACTTTTGTCTTGTAGGAGAAAAAGCAACCCAGAGGATACAATATCCCTTAACTACCACCATTCATGTTACCTCTGGATTTAATTGACAAAGCTTGTAGCAAATCTCTTAGGCAGCACTCTCCCTTTGATGTAAAACATAAAGACAACTCACCACTTTCCTATTTGCTGTGGTGATGCATTGATGCCACAATTAGAGCATCAGAAATGCCTAAGGCAGCTACTCAACTACGTTTTCTAGCTCCAATTATCTGAGACCATAACTAGCACTTGTTTAGTAGCTTCCCCCACTCTCCCTGCCAACCTTACTGCCCCTAAATCAATCTATTACTGAAGGTCCCCAAATTAAATGGAGGCTCAGCTATGTAAAGTGGACAGCAGGTAGATTAGAAGCTGCTGCTGTTCATTCTTTGTCCATCTGAAATATGCACGAAGGCAAACCTCACCAAAATAGATACCCCTTAAAAGTATTTGATCACCCAGATGCTCCATGGAATGTATTTGTGGGGTTAATGCCAACTGCAGAACGCTGGTTGTTTGATATTTGCAGAATAATAGCACAGAGAGGACCCAGTCATGATTTGTGGGGAAGGGTTTGGTCCCATTATGCTGCGCATTGTACAGCTATAAATTATAGTCTCTATTCCAAAGAGCATATAGCCTGATTAGGGACAAAGGTGTAGTACACAATGGAGAGGTAGCAGGGGGCAGACAATATGAACCTAGTTGCTTCTATTGGCTACGTGTTCAATGTGGAGGATTTGTATTTCTTTTTTTTTTTTTTTTTTTTTTTGGTTCTTCAATATGATCTAGAAGGCTGTAGTGCCCTTCACATTTTGCTGGAAATATAGAAGGGAGAAAATCTATGTATTAAGATATTCTTTCCCAAATTGCTGTTTCACAGTAATAACTAATGAATCCAGCTACTTACAGTGGAAGAAAGATTCTACAAACATTGAAAAAACAGACTCTTTATCTGACATCCTGACATCTCAATATAGTGATCAATCAGTAAGTACTTTTACAGTAAGTATGAGTGTTTGGGATCCTATGTAGAAATGTAATAGTTTTCCCCTTCTTTTCATAGACATGGTGGATGGTACTTTCAAATGTGCTTCAGTGACTTAGGTCATTTTAGAAAATGTTACCCAGTCTTTCCAAGTCTCACAGCTATCAGGGGAAGGTAAAAATGTTTTTTCCCCAAACTTTCTAAAAAAGATGCTAGACTTTACTGCCCAGGAATATTGCAGTTCATAAGTGTAGCCATAATTAAGTCACACAGACTAGCACTTTCCCGCCAAATGAAACAATACATTTGAATATTCAGGAATGTTTCCTAGCTGCACTTCTCTGGGACTAGGAACATAAATGTTAGTGTCATGTGCATATCATGTTGTTAACTTCATATCTCAAACCAGCATAAAACTAGTTCTGGTATCACTACGAGCATGGGAAGCCAACAGACTGAAACCGAAGATGCTAAGCTAAGCCAAGGTCAGGCATGACTTCTTGTAGTTTATAAATATCATTCATGTATAACACTTAAGAAATGGTTTGCTTTTGTAGACCTGCACAAATACGGTTTTACCTCTTAAAATTTTCAGAGTGTGAAGCTGCAGTTTCCCAAACTCTTTCAGCAAAAAAGTCTAAAACTCCATCACCTAAACTGAATGATAAAACCAGGTAAGCACTTTGGAGATACAAGATCTTGTCCAAAAGATTAAAATTTCCTAGGGGACTTCTGTATGTTTCTGTTTAACAAGCCATCCAGAACTTAGTTGTTACTAAATCAAAACTGGTATTTACTACTGTAAACCTAGCCCTAAGGCATGGCTGCAGCCTTCTCCTTTTCTCTTCATAGTTATGGGTCCTGGATTTACCTATAAGGTGCCTGGTGCCTCCACTCAAGGAAACCCCTCCTAGCTCAGAGAACACAGAGGGCTTGTTCCTTGTAAAAATATTTCACACACAATCTCCTACAGAGGAGTGTCAGTCAGAACACACAAATAAAACAGCAATCACAATTCCCAGGGTAATAAAACAGTAACTGGGGCTTTATTAGGTATGGGGCATTCAGAATAAGGAACAGTGTCAAAGAGAATTAAGATAAGCACAAACAATAATACATAACTCTACCTCTCCCAACATTTACAGCCAGAAGAAACAACACTGTGCTCCCTGCCAGAACATGCCTAGGCAAACAGTGAATTTAGGCTCAGTCTGTGATGGGTGGTGCAGTGCAGAACTCAGTGGGCATCTTAAAATAAAATAGCAAAATAAACAAACAAGGGTATTCTTACAAAGCATCCACACCAAGGATGGCAAGATCATCCTTGTGGCTCTCTGGTCTGGATTCCATGATTGTCCTCCGCCTTCTAAGTTTCTGGTCTCTGCTGAGATGACACTGAGCCAGGAATCCCAAAAGGTTTTTCTCTTGGTAAGGAGTGTGGAGAATAGAAGGGTCCTCCCTGGCTGTGATGGCTTTCTCCCTGCTACACAGCCAAAAAAACAAAAGTAAAACCAAACCCTTCGTCTCTGAGTTCTGGTAGTGTTGCTAGTCAGGTCTCTCTCTACCCTGGATCTTAGGCAATCTGGGCAACGGGATCCTGAGCCTCTCCAGCCATTGCTGCTATAGTCCAGGAGTGAGTCCCTAGTGGGTCTGGACTCTAAAGGGGTTACACTACATTAATAGGAAAAAGGGTTGAGGTGGGGAGAAGCTGCCTAGTGATTATAATCATAACCTCTATAAACTTTTCTTCCTAGTGCTATTCCTGTTTTTAGTGGCTTGCTGTGACTGTAAATGCTGTTTTTTAATTTAACCAATCTAAAAAATTGGTCAAATACTTTGTATTACAGGGTTAACTTTTCTAATGTGCTCTGGGTTGTTTGGTTGTAAAGTAGCTATATAAACAATTTTATCTCTACCATGTAGTAGTCACACTAACTGGCTCCAACCTTAATGCCTAGTTATCTCCCCTTTCTTAATAGTGGTACAGAATAGTATTTCCCTTATTACTAGTTAGTGGGTTGGAACTGAACAGTTCTCTCCCCTCTTTCCCCAACCTTTATTGCATTGGAGTTAACTGGGCTATGACATTACCTTCACATCACTTGTTTTAATTGGCTTTAAATTGATGGTACTTTAGAAATGTTTTCTTGCCCTTTCCTTCTGTTTATAGTGAACCATCCATAGAAGAACAGCCAGATATACAGTTTGTAGAAGAACATTCCCCAGAGGTAGGTATGTCTGTCTTGGGGCACAATTTACATGACAAAAAATTTTTCTTCAAGTGCTTTTTTCCTTCACAGTAGAAGAATTAAATTAGAACATTGCAAATATTGTTTACATACCGAGACAGAACAGTCTTGTTCTGTGTTTGTACAGTACTTGTACAGTAACCAGGCCTGTGACTGGGGCTCCTAAGTGTTACCACTATTGCCTCTTGGTCTGTTCTTTCACCCTTGTAATGTGGGGGAGAAATAATAATAATACAGAACCTAGAAACCTTAGCTAGAATCTTCAAACATAAATACCTAAAATAAGGTACCTCAGCAGAAGTAGCCTGATGTCTTTTCAGAAGGATTTGGACACCTAAATAAAAGTGATATTTGATTTTGAGGTCAGTGGTCAGCACCTATGAAAATTCAACCTACTATAACTGGTGCCTGGCCTTGGGTGCCCAGGTACCATGAAATAAACTTTTACTTTTGTCTTTTCTGGGCAGGCGAGGTCAAAACTTTCATAACTATACCTATCCTGTGAATGAATTAAAGATTTTAAGTATTCTATCTTCTCTACCCTCCTTCTAGTTGTTTCCTCACTGGTCCACCCCTTCCTTAACTTCTGGGTATAAAGTATTATAGAACATGTTTTTATTGTGGATTATGCTATTAATTAGTTTTGGAGTGATTCTATGAACTAATACGGGTGGGTGTGTCTATTTTTAGTTTCAACATACTGAGTAAATAGCTTTACTCTGTGTGCTATAGTTTTAAATTCTGTAACCTCCTTTCTTTCAGATTGATAAATGGGAGAAGAAAAATAGAAGAACAAGCTTAGGCAAAGAAATAATAGAAGCAAAGTACAGTATATGAGTCTTGAATGTGTATTAAACCTTGGTGCACTGTTGCTTAAATGTTCCTACTGTTCATGTTCAGTGTTAAAAGTGGATTAAGGAAAAAATGCTTCTCTGCTGCTCTCAGCTAAGATCGAGTGTAAACTGACTAGAGCAGCCATGCCCTCTGGTGATATTTTCCAGTATAGCAATTAATCAGTCTGGTTGAGATTACCAGTGCTTCAAAGGAGGATCCATTCCTATACTGCCAATAACATACAAGAGCTAACTGATATACACCAGAGGAAATTTCTTTTTGACTCCCACTGATTATATTTATGCCCTGAAAGAGGAAGACTGGTGGCCTCTGTAAATTTACTTTAGTATGGCTGCTGGTGACTTAATTTGCAAATGTCTAATCTGTTCTGAAATTTTGACATCCTATAGTAACAAGTTCCATCAATAATTTTTTTGCATGTAGTGTATAGGTTTTTGTTTTTGTTTTTTAAATATTTTTAAACTTGAAAGCACTAGACTGATGTATTCTTAGGTTTTGAAGGGTTCTGCCTAGCATTTGAGTAGCCCCTTTAGGGACCTAGGGGGCAAAGGATAGCCAGAGTGCCATGCTTTAACACCATGCTCCTGAACTGCACCCTTTGTCATGCAACAACCCAACACAACTCTGTGAGCCGCTGAATTAAAATCCGGTCGCTTGGATTCCAAAGGCACACATGGAGTACTTCATGGTCTGCTGTAGCAAAGGATGCTGACTGCCATTTTCTAGACTAGTTAAAAGTGAAACTTTGAGAAATTCTTCCAAAAGGCTGAGAGGAAATGGGGTTTAGCTGACTGGCTCCATTTAGAGGGTTTAGACGGTCACTCACACATGAAGACAATAGAAAATGAAAGAATTTAGTTGCTTTTTTCAAATACATCTGTTTTCTCTAAAATCTGAATATAATCTTTTTTAGTGCCTACATCTCTGAGAGCCATACCACTATAAACTCAGGCATTGTTGTCTTGAATCTGCAGGCAGAAAAACAGGAAGGAAGAAACCTCGCTAAATCTCATCCATATGACTGGGTGTTGATTCAAACACAATTATACCATTTAAACTATGGAAACCAATTCTCTGCTGCTTGTAGTAACAGCAACTTCCCTCACAAAGTTCTCCACAGTACCTGGGTGTTCTTTTTGTATCCTTAGATGATATGTTTATGCTTCATATGTATAACATTTTAAGTTTTGAATATCTAATATTCTGTCTGATTCTTAGTGTTATCAGAACAAAGGAGAATTATTATTCTTAAAATTAGGGTGATATTGAGGTTTACATTGCAGTTAGCTAAAAATGTGGCAGTTTCAATCCCCAAGTGTTCAAAAATGAGATGTCAAACAAACAAAAAAGAACTTTTATGTTTAGCTGAATTTTTGAATTGGTTGTGAATGGAAACTGAGTAATTGACATAGAAAATCTTTGGTTCAAAACATAAATTCAAATATTCACTAAGATTTCTATCACAACAGGTGCCTCCTGTTGAGGAAGGGGTTGACTTCACAGACATTAGAAATGGAGAAGATGAAATACTAGGTTGTCTAGCTCTCCATCACTCTGCCACTGCAGGATTGCTCCAATGTAGTTCTGAAAGCAAAGTGGCTTCTGTCTTTCCTGTTGGGAATCCACAGCATGGGAGAAAGGACCTAGTTCTGTATGTGCACCGCTTTTCCGCTGTTAAACAGAAGAGTAGAATACACAGCCATTTTGACAGCTAATTTTTAAATGGTGCTGAATCTAATAAACACTGACGACTTTACACACTTTTACTAATGTTGGGAAATATGAAGCCTATTTCCAGATGCGATATAGAGATGTGACTAGAGAGCAACCATTAAGAGGCGACGTTTTCAGAAGTGGTTAGGGAAAAGGTCCCTTTTAAAGCCTCTTAAGTTCTTTTCAAAATTCCATCTGCATCCACTAGCGATATTTTTTTTCTTGTCTTTCTCTACTATTATTGATGGCTTTTGGGGAGCAGAGAGATACTTAATTTATATAACATAACATGCTAAGTTGGCTTAAAGGACATACAAAAGATGCACAATTGTCTTGAACTTACTTTCTAAGGAAACAAGGCATGAGACCAACCCCCGCAAAAAAGTATAGTGGGGAGGGGAAAGAGATAAGAAACCAAGACTTAAAATAAGAATAAATGCTTGCTCTGACTGTTGTTAATGCATCTTGGTAAGTTTTAGATACATGAACTCTGTGAATAATATTAATGATAAATATTGTAAATGGCTGCAGTTTTTTTCAGCACTCTATTTTTAGTAAAGTTATGCAAGTTGAGTGTTCTATCATAATTGTAAGCCAGAAACATTTCACATATTAAGTATGTGTTGCTTTGCAGGATGAATTCCTATGACTTTGAAAATTCATCTGACTCTCTGCATTATGAGAAGGTAAAGTTTGGGAAAATATTGGCGTAGGAACCAAAACTAAATCACGTTTGCTTTATATTCAGCAACCAGTCAATGGTAATAAGTTTTTCAATAGGCTGCATCTCTTAACTGCAGATGAAGTGAAAAGCTTTTCTGAGAAGGTTGAAATTGATCCTATAAGCTAGGAACAAGTAATGATAGACATGGATGAAAACTGGAGATGTGAGACTCATGTCTCATTTCACAGGATTGGACGCAAAAGCTTGTGTTTCTCTTTGAAGGAGTAATCATAATTTGTTGCAGGTTGTAGTGGAAGTCATATAGTGCAGCCATTTGAGTCCAGACCATCAAGTTTGTTTTCCTTACCAATGTACATTAACTTGATTTAAATGTGGTTGAGAATATCTTGCTGTGTTTAAATAGTAAATTTTTTCCCTTCCCTGAATAGAGAGGATGAACTAAAGTCAGTGGTTCTCAGCCTCTTTCGTATCATGACTCCATGTTACAACAGAATGTTTTGGGATCCCAGTCTTGCCATAGAGAAATGGAAGGTGGTCATATCTCACAGGCTGAGAAACCCCAACTAAGTCAATAATTGAGAAGATACTCTTTGTTATAAAATAGGTGTCTGACTTAAGCCTGAAACTTGTCAAGAACTTTAATGAAAGCCAAAAAGTTGCCTGAATGGTGCATGTCTTTACAAGAAGTTAATAAGTACTTCTGATAACTTTCTTCAGGATAGCTTTCACACATAAAACCTCTGATTTTTTTGTTACTGTAATTATCATTACCATTTGGTAGCATGCAAAAATAGTCTTTGGTCCCTGTCCTTCAAAGTGGTGGTATAGGCAGGGCTGGTATTATGGTTGCCTGACACTTCTTCTCGTTTTCATATCCTGTTCTCAGTTGCTTATAACTTTTCCGACTTTAACCATTTGGGCTGAAATTTTTCATGCCAGGTCTCTGCCTCAGGCTGAAATGGTTTGGAAAAGTTCAGCCAAAATGGTTGTCACTTCTGAGAACAAAGCTAGGGAAAAAGTGTTCGCACACGTTAAAATTCCGGTGACCTTTTTGTTTGAGAAGTTGTAACACTCCATGTTTGGGAGCATGGACTTGAAATTTGGTGTGTGTATCGGGAACTGGTGAGGCCAATAGCCTTTGTCATGGATGTGCCTCTCAACATCCTCATGAAAAAAGTTCTAAGCCTTTGAAAAGTCACAATTTGTAGGTACTTGGGACTTGCTGGAGAAGCACATCTAAAAATCTCTGAAGATTCCATCCATCCTGAGCATGTTCCACCCGGAGGCTCCGGAGGGTTTTCTCTGCAATTGCAGCTCTGGGCTGCTGCAAGCCAGATCCAGGTCTGGGCACCAGAACTGAAAGCAGGGAGGCTCTTTCTCCTGTGCTCTCAATGCCCCTTGTACCCTTTTGATGCCCAGGCAGCATGGAGAAGAAAGTTGCTGGAGTCAAATGCAGAGGGCATGAGAGCTGGACTTGGTGTGGTAGATTAGGAAGGAGGCTGGCAAGGGTGGGAGGGGCTGGAGGCTGGCCTGGAAAGGACACTGGGACTGGAAGTAGAGGGGAGAGAGGAGACTGAGACAGGCTGGGCAGAAAGACTAGGACTGGGAACCATTCGGTTGGGGGAACGGAGGTGGGATTGGGGGGAAAACATCTCTGATGAGAAGTCAAGGTGTTGGTTGAGAACTGCGTTTGGCTGGGTAAAGAGAATAAAACAAGGAGGGGTCAAGGTGTGTGTGTGTGTGTGTGTGTGAGTGAATGAATGAATCACACCGAGATGGGATGGCTGGGGAGAGGGACTGGGAGCCAGTGGGGATAAGGATTGTGAGCATGGGGGCAGGAGCCACTGGAGGGTATGTGGGAGGTCAGAGAGACAGATTGGATGGGAAGCTAGGTGGGCAGGAACTGCGAATGATTTGGCAAGAAGGGTGAAAGGGACATATAAAGCCCTAGGGGAACTAGGATAGGGAGTCTAGAAGAGGAGACTAGGACTGGCTGGGGAAGGAGTCTGGGACAAGGAGCCAGGGTAGGGAGAGCTAGGATTGGCACAGAGATAGAAAGAGTTAGGCACGGGGTGGGGAGGAATGGGCAAAAGATTCAATGCCCTCTGGAGAACACTCTTCTCTAGAGCCTGAAACAGAGCCAAAGATTCCTGAGTCTCACCATTCCTCTGCTGTCATGTCTCACATCCCCCTCTAATGGTTATCCACAAAGAGGATGATAACCTACTAATGCATTGTAATTTCAAGTGGCAGATGTCTCCCCAGTGGATTTAAAGGTTTCCACTCTACCCATGGGGGTGTCAATATGATGCAACAAGACTAAATTTCTTTTATTTAAGACTGTTTGTTTAAAAAAACCCAACAACCTAGAAAACTGCACACACAAACCTAAATTAAAAGGTTATTCTAAAGTCAAGCCTTCACAAGGTAGGAAATACCAGGGATTCATCATCAACTCTGTCATGTATACATTATGATCATGATCACATAATATAAATATATATATTTTTACAGGACCCTTGCCTCATTCAGTGCCCAGGCTGGACCTGTTTCAGGGGTGAATCATGGGGTGTGTGGTGAAAGACTTTAGGACCTCTGTTTCATTTGTTGCATAAGTTGGAATGTGTGTGGTGAATGAGGCAGAGGATTGCAGGAAGAGAAGAGATGATCCCATGGCTGTTGAATGGCTGACTTGATACCCTAGGGTTTCATTGGTAGAAGTACTAAGCACTCAGCTACAGCTGAAGTCAATGGGAGCTGTGCTTTGTATGTATAAAACTATATACTTTAGTGTGTATATGTAAAGCTAAATACTCTGGGGAAAAATGAGTTCCTAGGGATCTCAAACTGGGTACCCAAAATGAGTGGATATTTTTTTACCTTAATCCTTCTGTGCTTCAGTTTCTCATTGGTAAGAATGAGATCATACCCCCTCACAGGGGTGTTGTACAGATAAATTAATGTTTATGCAATACTCAGATACTATAGTGATGGGCACCAGGAAAAGCCCACGAGGAAATTAATTCTGTTTTCAGGATTTGAATAGTGTACAGTAAATAAGGCCTGGGGTCACACATTGAACAAAGAGGAGGAAATGAAAAATTGAATAGCTCGTTGTTACATGAGAACTGTCCATCCTGTGCACTGAATGAGGCAGTGGATCTTGTGGAAAAAGTAGTATGTGATCATGTAATTAAAGACTGTTTCACAATACACACACACACACAAGGGGGTTCAAGTTAAGGTTGCATGGGCAACCTTAATTCTGGTACTTTAACTCTGGAGTACTTGGCTTTGCAATTTTACTGTTTGTTTTTAAAGTGTGTGTGTGTGAGATATTAACTAGCCTACATAAGGTAAGACCAGTCTACTAAGTGCCATTACGCCAGGAGAATTCTTGTTTGTTTTGTGGTGAGTACAGTTGCCCCTAAAGCTTCTGTTGCTGGTGGTAGAATGGTGCAGCTGCAACGCTGGTGAAACATAGTTAAGACGTTTGCTAATGTAGATGCACCTTGAGTGTTTTTGATGTAAAGCAAAGTGTCAAAACTCAACCGTTCTCCTAGGAATTAACTGAACTTATGTTAGTCAGCCCTTAGTGAAATATTTAAACAGATGGTGCAAAGAAATGAGGTTATTGTAACCAACAGCAGTTCAACTGCTCTCAGCCAGATTCCATTTACTGCCCCTATGCTTGCTATATTAACTCCATTATTACCTCTTTCTGGTTTAATATCCCTCAAATTCTAGCTGAAAAGAAAAATCTGAATCTCAGTCAAGTATTTGGCATCTTACACCTTTCAGTACTACCACTGGGTGTCAGCATAAAGCACTGCTCTCATACATTCTACAATATGTTACACTTATTATTGTTTATCTCCGTCTAAATATCTTTATCCAACATTTGCCATGTCTAGCATTTTGTGTTTTATCCAGAGTGCCTTAGCAATTATCAGGACTATCCTGATTTGAATGCCATTTCAGTAATATATTCTGTGATTCAGAATTCTTTTAGTAATAAAGCAAGGAAAAAGTGGAAAAATGCTGTTTTGAGAAACCTCTATCTCCCTATATATTAAATTGTTTCACTTAACTAATTCCTTCTATTTATAAAGCACTCTTATTCCGGAATATTTTTAGTCAATTCCCACTTTATCCCTTCCAAGACCTGACATGTATTCATTTAATAGATTATTGTATGGGATATTGAACCTTAAAATATGTGGCTTCTATTTTAGGTTTCTGAAGCAAAACAAAAAATTCTTGGCCAGAGGGTTTCTTTACAAAACCAGAGGTACAGCATCATATATATTCTTTCATAATAACATCTTGCATTGGTAAAGAACACACTGCCTTCTTTAAGAAGATGCTGCGTTAGCTTCTGCCCAAATAAATGTTAGTTTTTAAGGTGCCACTGGACTCCTCATTGTTTTTGTGGATACAGACTAACACAGCTACCCTTGATACTTGCTTTTATAAGGTTAGAACAAAAAGGAAGATGCAATATATTTTTCATTAGAAATATCTTAGTTGTTGGTATTGTATCTGATACACACAGACTCTGGGAGAAGAGAATAACCATCCAAATCCTGTTCATTTTTCTCACAAAAGAGATCCTATTCTATTCAGTGCCCAAGATTTTCAACTTGGGCGCCTAACTTTAGATGCCCAACTAAATGGCCTGATCTCTTTCCCCCCCCCCCCGCCCCCGAGAAGTGCTAGTTACACCACTCTCAGCATCCCCGTGAAGTTAGAGAGCTGTGGGGGGGCTCAGCATTTCTGGAAAAATCAGGCCACTTAGGCACCTAGTTTAGATGTCCTTTTAAATCTTGGCCAATGACTACCTGTGTGAATATGGAAAGTAGGATCTGGCCTTCATTTTTGCCTCTAAATGATGGCTACTGTTATGACTGCCCTTATTGGAGGGGTTGGGGGAGTTGTGCATCTGAGGAATTGGAGTTCTCTGCTACTCGTTGTGTGGGTGGGTGGGGTTTTTTGTTTTTTGTTTTTAAATCACTGACCAAATATCTGTCTTCTGATGGGAAAGAGGCAGGATACTTTGAAGTCTGGTGCCTACAAAAGGATCAGCCAGCAGTGTGTTAGAAAAGGGGGAATACGGAAAATCTTTTAGCAGCGCAAACATATCACCTTTATCTCCCTTTGCCCTTCAGACCCCTTGCTAATGCAAGCTGTTCCCGCAGCGTTGCCAACTCTCATATCTTTATCCTGAGGTTCACAGTAGTTGGTATCTTTCTTAAAGCAAAAGCTCCTGGAATCAAGAAATTGGTCTGAGAATCTTGGCTTCCATTTAAAATAAAATTAAAAGTTTCTGGTCCTGAGTGTTGCAGGGGAAAAAGTTGAACATGTGAAATGAATGCATCCTAAAGACTCAGAAACCAGAAGGCAAATAAACTCCACACTGAAATATTTTTAAAAAAATCTTATTTCTGTTTGACTCATGATTTTTGAATGCATGGAGTTGGCAATGCTCCTGCTTGCAGAATGGTCATATCTTTCCTAATCCATAATGATCTGTTGCAAGCTTCATTGATTAGTTCTAACATGCATAATTGTGGATTACTCAACAGAAGTCATGAAAATGGAAACATGAAACGGGAATCAAGCAAACTAGAGAGAAGGCCGGTAGGTAATATATATTTCATTATGGTAGATTGTGTAAATATTAATATGTGGCCAGTTTCTGCATGTAAATAAACTGAAAGCATGGCCTGTTTAAATTAACTTGGGGAAATGGAGAGATTAGAATTGGTGATGATGAACCAAACCTCCCCCATATTTATTCAGATGCATGATTACTTTCTCCCACCTAACCAAACTTCCATACATTTAGAGAACCTATTATGGAGGCTAGCACCTCTGGGGCACTCTGTGTGGTCGTGACCAGGGCCAGCTTTAGCAGGTGCAGGGCCCCATGCCGGCACACGAATTGTCTCGTGCCCCAACTCCGCCCCGGCCCCGCCTCCTCCCTGGCCCCGCATCTTTGTCGCATTCCTCCTCACCCCTCCTTCCAAGGCTTGCGCTGATCAGCTGTATGGGGGCGCAAGCGCTGGAGGGAGGGGGGAGAAGCAGGACGCGGCTTTTCTTTTTGCTTCGCCGGCAGCCCCGGACGTTGCGGGGCCCTCTTAGGTGCGGGGCCCCATTCCGGGGAATCAGCCGAAACAGCTTAAAGCCGGCCCTGGTCATGACCACCACTGAACTGAAAATTTAGATGCACTCTCTTATGCCCAGCACTCTGGATTTGAAGTTGGACAGCCTGGCTTGAGTAGTCAGGAGGGGGTTAAACTAATAGTAAAATGGGAGTGTAAAAAGAAGGAAGATAAGACCTCTGGGCAAAAAAATCAAGATGTTGAGAACAAAATTAATCAAGGAACTAAACAACATGAAGAAAAGAAATTATTCATTTGCCTGTACACCAATGCTAGGAGCCTGGGTAACAAACAAGAGGAATTGCAATTGCTCATTTTATGGGAGAATATTTGATCTAGTTGATATTACTGAAACCTGATGGGATGGTTCACATTATAGTCATTGATTTTAATATGCCAATCATCTATTTAGGCAGGATCATGTGGGCAGAAGGGAAGAGGAGTACCATTCCGCATCAAAAATGGCTTTACCAATTTGAATCACTGATAACTTAGAAGAAAATTATCTTAAATGCTTATGGATTAAGGTGCTAATAGATTAAGTGCAAGATGGGGTATTAGTTGGTGTCTGCTACAGACCACCACATTACCCAAGGGAACATGATGACCGGCTCCTTACACCCCTATCTATAAGGTGTAGAAGAAAGAAGCTGCATGATTCATGGGGGATTTCAGTTTGAGTGACACATGCTGGAGGTCTCAAGCTGCCAGGACTAAAATATCCATGGAATTTCTGAACATTATAGATGACAATTTCCTAATCTAACAAAGTATTGGAATATTAGACCTTGTCTTAAGAGATAAGAGGATGACAGAACTAAAAATTGATTAGGTACAAGTGACATTAACTAAATCACATTTATAATGTGCAAGCAGAATGAAGTGCCATATAGTCCAGTTATATGTATATACTTGGTGCTTTAAAAAGACTAATTTTACAAAGCTGGAAACAATTATGAAAACAACTGGGAGGAAGAATTTAATCTGAAAAACTGAGAGTGATGATTGGCAATTGTTTAAAAACATTTTACTAGGTGCCAAAAAGTCATAATCAAGAAAGAAGCCCATACTGGTTTAAAAACTGACCCAGTTTTGAAAGGAAGAGAAGGCAGCTAGTGGAGGTGGGTGCAGAATGGGGTTGGAGGGGCAGCTCATAGTAATGAGTCTAAATCAGAAGCTAGAAATTGTAGAAAAATGATAAGGGAAGCAAAGGGACACAAGGAGATATCTATGGCCAGCAGAGTTAAGGACCGTAAGAAGGATTTTAAAAAAATTATATTTGGAACAAAAAAGAATCTTCTAGAAGGAAATGGTAGAACTATTACTACTAATGTAGTAAAGGCAAAAGTATTCAATAAATATTTCTGTTCTGTATTTGGGGGAAAACAGTTGATTTAGTCATATGGTAACAACACACTATCTATTCCACTTTTTAAATCAGCAGGTCTAGCTAACTTGCATCCAGGAGTTTTAAAAGAGCTGGCTGAGGAACTCACTGGACCATTAATGATGATTTTAAGTCTTGGAACACTGGGACAGTTCCAGAGGATTGGAAAAAAACTAATATTATGCCAATATTTCAACAGGGTAAATGAGATGACCTGAGAAATTATAGGCCTGTCAGTCAGACATTGATGCAAGGCAAAATAATGGAGTGCCTAATATAAGACTTCCTTAAAGGAGAGCCATTAATGCCAATCACCTTAGGTTTATGGAAAATAGAACTTCTCAAACTAACTTGATATCTTCTTTGGGATGACAAATTTGGTGGACAAAAGTAATAGTGTTGATATAATATACTTTTTGACTTGATTTTGATTTAAAAAAAACTAGAGTATGAAATTTATCTGGAACATATTAAATGGATTAAAAGCTGGCTGATAGGTCTCAAAATGTAACTGTAAATGGGAACTCATCATTGAGTAGGTGTGTTTCTAACAGGGTCCCACAGGGGATCAGTTTTTGACCCTACTCTCTAAATCAATGACCTCAGAGAAAACATAAAATTATTACTGATAAAGTTTTCAGATGACCCAAAAATTGGGGTATAGGTAAATAACAAAGAGGACAGGTCACTGATACAGAGTAACTTGGGTCGCTTGGTAAGTTGGGTGCAAGCAAACAATGTATTTTTACTATAGCTAAATCTAAACGTATACATTTAGAACAAAGAATGTAGGCCATACTTACAGGATACTTACACTGCTTTCTTGGGAAGCAGTAACTGAAAAGATTTGGGGATTGTGATGGATAATCAGCTGAACGTGAGCACCTACTTAGTGCAATGCTGTGGCCAAAAGGATAGCGCAATCATTGGATGCAAAAATAGGGGAAATCTTGAGTAGGAGTAAAGATGTTATTTTACCTTTGTATTTGGCATTGGTGCAACTGCTATTGGAATAACTGTGTTCAGTTCTGGTGTCAACAATTCAAGAAAGATGTTGATAAATTGGAGAGGGTTCAGAGAAGAGCCACGAGAACGATTAAAGGATTAGAAATCATGCCTTTATAGTGATAGACTGAAGGAGCTCATGTCGCTTAACAAAGAGAAAGTTCAAGTGATTAGATTACATGGGAATATGGGAAACAAATATTTAATAATGGGGTCTTTAATCAACCAGAGAAAGTTCTAACATGATCCAATGGCCAGAAGTTGAAACTAGACAAATTCAGACTGAAAATAGGTGTAATTTTTTTAATGTTAAGAGTTATTGACCATTGGTACAGTTTACCTAGTGTTGTAGTGGATTCTCCATCACTGACCATTTTAAAATCAAGATTGGATGTTGTTCTGAGAGAGCTGCTCTAGGCATTATTTTGGTGCCATCCTATGGCCTGTATTATACAGGAACTCAGACTAATAATCACTGTAATCCTTTCCAGCCTTGGAATCTATAAGTCTATGAAAGTAAGTTGCTGCCTGGGTCCTGTGTCTAATGAAGCCTTAAATGAGTGAGATGGGTGAGCAGGGAACTGGGCTTTATAGATGGGCTGAGGGGCTTATCTACATGAACAGTTAGACTATGGCAAACTGTGGTGTAAATCTACCCCACACTAGCCTACTATAGTCTGTCCATATGCATCCTGCTGACATGTGTTAAGTTTGTTAGAACATTTGAGCTAGTCCTGTTTTCAAAGCAAACTAGCTCAAAGCACTCTAATGAACTGATAACACCCATCAGCTGGGTGCACGCTGGTAGGCTAACCTGAGGTAGATTTATACTTCGTTTGCCATGGGCAAACGGTTTGTATAGACAGTCCTTATGTTGCATGCTGCTACAGTTTTGTAATTCAGAGCAGCTGAGAGTATGTTTAGACAGCAAAGAAAAACCTGCGTCCATTGGTGACTTTATTGCTGTGTCTTGAAATTATGATTTGGTAGCGGCTGCCCCTGCACCCCAAATGTGTATGTGGTCTTAATACTGATAAGAGGTGCTGGACCGACAGCTGTAGACACTTAGGGTATGTCTACACAGCCACTAGACACTCACAATGGACCCATGCCATCTGACTTGTGCTCATGGAACTCGGGCTGTGGGACTGTTCCATTGCAGTGTAGCCTTCCAGGCTTGGGCTCGAGCCGGAGGTCTGGTACCCTCCCACCACACAGGGTGGTGTGGTGGGCCGTTGCTCATCTGATGGTAAAAAGATTTGCACCGTCATTTGTTTTTGGGAGTTAGAACTGACTTATTAGTATATTTAGTCTGATTATAGGAAACATCTTTTCTCCGAAAGTAATCGTGACACTGCAAGCAATAGTCACAGTGAAAAGAGCTGGATCCTTGATTCTCAGAAAAAATCACTACCAAAAACCCTAGATTATACCCGAAGAAGGCCCAGGGTCAGGAGTAAATTAAAAGGTAAGGACTATGTCATGTGTGGCAAAACATAGCTGATGTAACCTACTGTGTAACAAAGGTGTAAACTGAATGGTGAAAATATCCAAGTCTGGGTTTGGGTTAGGCAGTGTTTGTGAGATTGAGGACTTGGATGAAAACTGCCCAGTTTGCACAAGACTAAAATTATGCTGGTATTCTAATAGGTTAGGGAAGATTTGGCCAAGATTTTTGTCTGCCTGTCCCTGCCTTGAGGGAGTGCATCAGCTCTTAGTAACACGTGTTTGTAATTTGGGTATAAAATGAGATATTGGGGTGCTCATGGATGCTCAGGTAGTGGCAATGTTCAAAGTGCTGCTTTTGATCTCTGCCCAGCAAGAATGTTATCAGCTTTCCTTGAGGTTGGGGACCCTGCTTCAATTTTCCATGCCTTTGTCTCTTTAAGATTGCTGAAATGTGAGCTACGTGGGGCTGCATCCTCATACCCAGCAGAAACCAAACTTGCTGCAGAAAGAGGCTGCCGACTTTTTTACTTTTTCAGACTCATGAGTGCTCATCTTCTGCAAAAAAATATAAATGGACATTCTAAATTTTGATGATGTCTTTCACTCTCACATCATATACCGTATATCTTTCCCAAGCAGTACACCGCTCCAGTGCTCCATAATCAGCAGTGGTTTCTGACACCCTTGAGTTTAACCTATAATCTTCTGAATGGGTTGGAACCTCCTCACCATCGGCATGAGGAGATGAGAAGAGCACAACTACTCATGATGGAGCCCTTTAGAGTGTGTGTGTGTGTGTGTGTGTGTGTGTGTGTGTTTGTGTGTTAAATAAAATAAAAGGAAGTGGCAGCAGAATGTCCTCAGTGCGGGTCCCTCAACTTTAAGACCTCTTCCCATTTCTCCACACTTGTTCGCCAGACTTTGGATTTGTTGCCCTTCCAGACAAGCTGCAAGGTCCACCTCTTTGCCCAGATGTTCGAGGATGAAATGGTCTTAATATTATTTGCATTTGTGCTAATGGGCAGCTCTGTGAGCAAATGAGTGTTTTTTTTTTTTAACATTTTAGTATGGAGATGTCGTTAAGTTGGGCCTTGTACGTGCTATGAAAATCCAAATAAAACTGAATGAGACTTAACCATGTTGCAGATAACTGTAAATCAACAGGTGAGGAGCAAAAGTGTGCAATGTTTCCAATAATTGGTTAAAACCTTCTTTTTCTCTTACAGTGTTGCCGTTATCATCTGCAAGTAGTGGCAGTGATTACCACACAAAGAAAGTAAGATGCTATGGTATTTAGATTATGCTGCTACTGATGCTAATGCATTACTTATGTGAAGCATATTAAGGGATGAATATGTAGCATGTAGCTAGGTAAATATCAAGAGTTGTACATCTCTACCCCGCTATAACGCGACCCGATATAACATTAATTCAAATATAACGCGATAAAGCAGCGCTGCGCGGGGCTGCGCACTCCGGCGGATCAAAGCAAGTTCAATATAACATGGTTTCACCTATAACACGGTATGATTTTTTTTTTTGGCTCCCGAGGACAGCATTATATCAGGGTAGAGGGGTACCTGGGTTTTCAAATACAACCTAAATATTTATTTATTTTTTTGAGGGAACATATAGTTCATAATTAGTCATAGACATATAGTAATAGACTAGTCAACTACTGTAGTCTGCTATCATCAAGCTATACTGAGCTGTTAGCTGCAGGTGTGTTGCATCTCAAGGCTTGTCTACAGGGTGAGTGACTGTGCAGCAAGCCAGAGTGTGAATCTACAGTGCACCAGCTTGCTTCACAGTAACTAGCCATGGGGACACTGCTACAGTGCAGTGACAGTCCTGGAGTGCACCTTAGTGTGTACTACACACTTCAAAGCAATGTTCACTAAAGGATCTTACCTACATTCTCCTCTACCTTTAGTAAGGAATCTGCTAGAGATTAGGGGTAAGATGTATTTTAGTTGGAGATTTAAGGCCTAGGGGCATATGGAACATGTAAAATTTTACAACTTCTACCCCAAATGAGCCTCACTTAGATTTTATTTACCTGTCATTCTTGGGAGCAGGGCAGGAATTAGCATGCATAATCCAACATCAGCTTTGGAAACCCAGTGGTACTTCAATTTCAGATAAGCATCCAAGAGCTACAGCAGCTTATTTGAATATTTGGAACCTCATGTCTGGCCCTGTGCTCCTCTATCCCGACACTGTTTCTCCTCTCCCATCCTTCCTCTGTTTTTGTCTGAGCCTCCTGTCCCACTTCCTTCAGTGGTAGACCAGATTCCCTCTGGCCATTTTTTGGGCTCATGTTCCCATACTCCCACATGCTCCCTGGATAACCCTCACTTCAAATCAATGTTTCCATTTGATTCAGAAATATGGGCCATAAACATGGCTACAGGCTGCATGGCATGCCGCCAAACTACACTTCAAACAATGGACAGTAGTGATGCCAAACTTTTCCAGTGTTCCAAATGTTAGTGCCATGTCTTGTGAGCATAGGCAATACTGTATGAAGTCTAAGATAGTTACTATTTATCATGTTTTTGCAAACTTCAGAAAGCTTATATCAGGCTTCTTAAATTTTCGCTCCTTCTGCTCTGTTAAAACATTTTGTGGTCATTCATATGAAGAATGACTTGAGCTGTAATTGCTTGCTAAGGAGGAAATTTTAGAGTTGCCTCAGATTTAAGACCGTGAGTCCTTTGCAAATCAATGGAGCCTATGTTCCTAAACCGCTTGGGTGTTTCAGGAAATCTCCCTCTAGGAGTCTAGACATGCTAATAGCCTAGTTACTACTAATGTTAATTTTACTTCTTGAATAAAATAGGTACTTAAAATACATATATTTTAGGTTGCTGTTTCAAGACCAACAATGCACAGGGAAGTGCTGAAGAAGGAAATTAAATCCAGTGCAATGAGGCTTGATTTCTCTGCAGTGGAGCTCCCTGGTATGTTATGTTATGTTTGTTTTCTCCCCCCCCCCCCACCCTTCCCATACAGTCTACTAGAAAGAGGCCACATACATTTTATATTTCTTTTATCCCCCTGTACCCCATAAATTCCTGCCTACTTGCACCTCTTATAGCAGTGGTGAGACTTCATCAGTGTTTTAGGTAAGCTGTTTTGGGAGGGGGGCACTGGGCGATATTTTGTTCCCTGATACACAGGTTCAAGTCGGCTCAGCTCATCACTACATTAGTAGGGCTGCTTATGCTTATGCTTTGATGGTTTGTCATCCATGCTTGAATTTCCAATCCCAATAGATGGAGGGGAGAGGAAGGGGAAGAAATCAGATTTAGGATTTCTGGCACTTGAGCCACAGATGTTCAGTTCGTATTCAGTTCCCAAGTCTGTGAAAATTGGAATTTTCTTTTCTGACTAGGACTCTTAAATTTGTAATGAGGCCGTTAAACTGATTAATGATTTGTATTGTTTTAAACTTGAAACAAATCTTTGCTGAAGATTTTTCCATTCCACAATGCTGGTCTCTCTTATGACGTTCAAATTCCTAACACTGATCTGTTGCATTGAAATTACATTGTAAACTGTAAGTATATTAGTGTATCTGTCATACATTTACATACCGCCTTCAGTGCTTCTACTGTATGCAAATAACTATATAGCAGTTATGGATCTACATACACAATGCTGTTGTGTCCTAGGATATTTGGAGCTAGTGTGATGTATATTATGGTATGCTAAACCTTACGGTTTGGGGCTGGAAAAATTAGCTATCTGTCCAACAGTTTTTACAGCGTAATGTCTCCATGTCTGAAAAAGCTACTGCAATAAAATGCTATCTCGTTCCTTTCATGTCCTGGCATCATAAAAATTATCCTGCTGGTCATGTCCCTGCTTGTAGCTTGTCTGGTAGTACAGAATTTTATATATAGTACTCTGAAGTATTTTCATTTTTCTTTTCCTTACTTTGTTCCCTCCAGGAGCATACTGGCTGGAATAGATAGTGATGTATGTATTGCTTCAGATGTGTGTATTGCCACTATAGCAGTCCTGTGAAGGGAAAAGAATGCTGTTCAACTGCAGCTCAAAATACAATAGCACTCTCTCATATATTGATTGTAGAAGAAGGTGGTGGGGGTGTGGTGGTTGTTACTCACTATTCAATGCACAGAGATATTGACTTGGTCAATATACAATCCAAAATCAATTGCCTGTATTACCTGACTAATAATACGTCACTTATGCACTTCTTTCAGATGATTTGGAAGCAGACGATCTGACACTACCATTAAGTGCATCTTCCCATGAGTATTCTGATGCTGGAGAGAAGAAGGTGAGGTTTAGAGTACTTATTTTACCCTATTCTATTCTGTTTATATTACTTTTAATACAAATAGTTAGAGAACAATATGTTTTATTTGGAAATGAGGTGGCCTTTTTTCCCCCCCATATACAGAGCTAATGCAATGCATCTCTCTCTTAGAAATATGCGGAGGTATCCAGTAAATTACCAGGAGAAGATAAAGTCTCCAAATTTAAACGAAAAGGTTCAGGTATAGTAGACACCATCTAAGTAAACACAGAAGCTATTCAAAAGCATAACTGCATGGAGTGGAGCACCTAACTGCCCTTCGTCTCTGAAAATCTCCCCCTATATGTCAAGGGTCTGACTAGACTTCATTTTCTTGTGCAAATTGTGAGACTGTTAATTCCATGCTGTAGCTCTTGTACAACTTTACTCCTGTCTAGTGCTCTCATATTTATTTTTGTCCTCAGTTGGTCAGTAATGTGACTATCTTGAGCAGAGACACACACAGCGAAGACCCTAAGAATGGCGTGAGGGTGGGGAAATCTGAACCTTATTACAGATTTGGAACTATGATGTAATTAAATCAACACTTCATTCAAAAATAGTCAGTCACATTCCCCAGGTATAAGAGCGGAGGGTAAACTTTGTGCTCAAGGTTATCCTTTATATTTAACCCCTTTCCAATAATAACCTTTTTGGTTTTACTGCACACTATTTCTATTAAAGGCAAGTACAGTGTGAAGCTTCACAATATTGAAATGTTTTAGCTGCTCTCTTGTTGAACACCAGCACATAGAAATCCAATTCTTTTCTTGTTTTGCTTGGTTACCATCTGCTGTCTTTTTTGAGTGAGCACAATTCATTTGTAGCAGAGTGTATGTATAGTTGTATTTATCTTGAGGGTGTGCTTTATCTTTGTAATTAGCAATATGACACTGCTTCTGTAGGAAGCAGAAGATCTTCAGAGGATCGTCTTTCCATAGCACTTTTCTCTACTAACACTTTCTGCGTGGCCTTTGCATAACTATCTGGCAACTAGAAGAAGGCAAAGCCAAGAGCGTGTGGAGGGTTAGCATCTTGTTAGAGAAGCATAAGGGTTCAGGTTCTCTGGCCTGAGGCGTCAAAATGGAATGTCATGCTGATAGTGGTGCATGACCCATATCTTGCCTGGCCACTCAGTTCTTCATTAAGTCGCTAATGACTTTTATTGCTTTAAAGGTGTTCTGTAAGAACGGCTTCTTGACAATGCTGTAAATCTTAGTTGAAGCAAAATCAAACAATTTTTCCTGGGTTTAGTGAAAGAGAAATTCCTTTTAATCACTTCTTTTTTTATATATATCTTTCCCCCCCTCTTGTAACCTATTTTGTGTACAATTTAACGGTGGGGTATTGCTTGTGTTTGCAAGCTGTTTGTGAATATTTAATTCCCATACTTAAAAAGCATCAGTACAAACTACTGTCATCTGCTCGAAGTAAATACATTACCAGTGACATGTAAGGACATGTTTTCAGTGAGGATGAAGTCACATAATCCTTTTCTAATCTGCTATTCAAGTGGCGCTGCAGCACATCCTTCCTTGTTGGAAGAAAACCAGTTGTATGCTAGCGAAACAACAATAGGGTTTTGGTGTGTGGTGTTCATGCAAATGTTCTCGACACTGATCCAATTACCAGATAAAACACATGGTTCACTGTAAGGTTGCTACTATTTTACTATGTATATATGGTATACCAAGGAACTATTGGTTTTAAAAAAAAAAAACACACACCAAAAACCTGTTGTGAGTCTGAGACCTCACTTTCCAGATACAGGCTGCATATCCACCCAATGTTTGTAGGAAGTAAACCTCCGGCTACGTCCATACTTGCAGCAGAGGGTGTGGTTCCCAGCCCGAGTAAGCGTACCTGCACTAGCTTTGCTCAAGAGGAGATGCTCAAGATGAGATGCCAGCCAGAGTAGCGTGGGCAGCAGCAATGGCATGGGCTAGCCGCCTTGAGTACAAATCTGCCCATAACCCATGGGTATGTATTCAGGGAGTCTAGCCCATGCCACCACTCCCTGTGCTAGTGCAGCTAAACTACTGTTCTTAGTGCGCTAACTCAAGCAGGGCTAGAGTGGGTGTGTCTATGTAAGCTGGGAATCACTTCCCCTGCACCAGGTGTAGATGTAACCTATGAGTACCCATACACCAGATCAGGATAGCACTTTTCTTAATTATCAAACAGGAGAGAAGGGGGTCAGCGTGTCTGAATTTATTATCATTTGCGGTTAATGGTGGCTTTAAGTCAGCAGTTGTGATAGCTCTAGTCTACAGTGTAAATGTAATCCTATTACATGGTTGGGTGGCTATCTGGTGGCAGAGTTAAGGTTATTTATGGAGAACATGCATGGTGATATTGTGAGTGCTTTTGTTTGGAGCTCTACTTAGGGGTGTAATTGAATATTTACTTCATGAGCTCTGGGAGGGTGCCAGCACCCCAAGATACCACTGCCTTGTAGAGCTCATGAGCCGCTCAGGGGCCCCAGCTGCTCCTGCTGTGCACTGCCTTACCGAGTTTAGGAATAATCCACAGAGTTCCTATTTCTCTTCTGTTCTCCTAGCCCTGCGTAAACTTCAAAAAGCACATGTACCATGCACACACCATCCATCGCACAACATTAAAGCTGACAATGAGGACTGGTTTTATAAATCTCCTCCTTAAAATATGGCTTCCATCTCCTTAGATGAGCCCAAGTCCTAATAGCATTAAACTGGTATGTGAAGTTTGAAGTTTTACTTGTGACCCTTATTTTCCTCTCTCCAGCTGCTCTTGCTGGCATGCTGGAAGAAGTGGTGATGAGGCTATGTGCACTCACTGCCCTCGTCCACTCACTCCTCCAGCCAGGGCCAGCGCAACCCATTAGACAACCGGGTGCTACAATTTGGGGGTCGGTGACAGTGGCGGTATTTCGGCGGTGGGACCTTCCGCCTCCTCTGTGGGAGGCGGCATTTTGGGGCGGCAGAAAAGCTGGCAGCGCTCCTGCCTCCAGCCATGTTTGCATGGGAGAAGCAGCAGTTCTGCAGAGGCTGTGCAGGGTCTGACGATGCAGGTAGCCTGTGCAGAGGAATAAGGAGACTCCAAACTGTCCTGCAGAGATGCGCAACCAATGTCTCAGATAAATTCAGATTGCTCACCAAGACTCTTGTAAACCAGCAAGCAGTGCTAGCTATTGCAAGGGTGGTAGGTCACTGTGCAGTCGTGCTAAATACTCAATGTGGAACTAAGTTCTAGATCTCTACTGTACCGGTATTATTGTCTTTTAGATCTATCGCCTGGTGGTGTCGTTAAAAAGCGCAAACTTTCAAGATGGGAAATGGGTCAGTCATCTCCTGGCATTTGCCCTGAGCCAAGAAAACTTTTTGATTCAATAGAGAAGAAAAAGGAGATTCAAACAGGTAACACCAAGCCAGTGTTTAAAATGAGCATTTCAAAGTCTTTGTCACTTGGCCTTATTGACTGAAATTGTAGTTTGTGTCCAAGCCTAGACAGAACTATAGTGAACTCCTTTACGAGTGAGCCATTCTAATGGGGTAGATAGTGGATCAGATTGTGAACTTGCAAGAGTGTAAATAACTGTTCACTCCATGGAAATAAATGGAGTTAGAGGTGTAAATGAGAGGAGAACTGGTCCCATTGTTTGCAAGTTCTGGTGGGGAAGCTGCATGGAATTGACATATCAATGCCCAGAAATGACAGCAGTTTCAAGTGTACCTGCGCCCAGATGTCAACTTCATTGACAGTCGAGCCCACTGTCTTGCCCCTTCTACAGTTACTAGCAACCTTTGTGGAAAGTACATGGAAATCACTACCAAATCAGAATGGGAGTGGGTTACATCAACGCAAAGTGACTGTAAAGAACTACACAAGAGGCAAAGCAGTGGTATCAGGGCCTGAAAGTGCAGACACCACACACTTTATGAAGAGTGTATAGTCTTTGGTTTTCCTCGGACACACTTCCCTCTGGGGAACGGAAGCAAAGGAGCCCAGGATGGGGCTGTCACAGGTTTCAGCCAGAGAGTAGCAGGGCATTTTGTTGCCGCATTTCTGTACATAGTTTCCATTCCTAGTAAAGTGTGTTTGTCTGGAAACAAGCCTGCTCATCAGTAAGATATTAGGAGGCCCAATGTTTTTTGGTCTGATTGCCCCATATTTACATGTTAATACATTGTGTACTTGGTTGGTGTCCAAATATCATCTGTTCTACAATGCAGTCATTTGTAATAGATTGACAATTCCTTCTCAGACTTCCTCCATTTTGAGATTGTTCCACTCCAGTTTCCAAGAACTTTGGAAGAGTGACCATGAAACACCATCTCACTCCTAACATAGGTTGTCACTTGCATCTCGTTGGAGTGAAGGAATGTGGTGTAGTGCAACAGATAATGATTAGGATCAGGTTTGCTCGAGTGCTTTAGAAACGTTTTGCATGGAGTTGCACCTTCCTCTCTCTTGCAGGTGGGGAATCAGATGAATCAGATGACATCTTTGTCTCCAAGATACTGCATGAGGACGTCAGTGATTCTGGTGTCATTGCTGCCTTTGAAAGCTTTACCAAACAACTAACGAAAACATTCTGGGTAACTCTACAGTGTGCATGATTTTCCTAGTGTGTATCCATTGTGTGGTATGCATATACCTAAACAAAGCAACCAAACAGCTGATTAGCTGAGATGCCTGACCTTACTGTCCCTAAATTAATCCAACTGGGGGAAGGGAGTTAGTTGGAGAGTAATTTATTCAGGAGCTCATCCCACCACATCTAGGTATGCTGCAAGGCCCAGCTATTCCCAGAAATGTCCAAGGGGCAGTAATGGATTGGTTGTGAGAGGATGGTTTTAATTGGAACGGAGAGTTCTTTTAAATGAAACTTTATTCTGTGATGTCAATTTAGTTGTATTTAGATGTTCCAAATAATTTGATGGAAAGAAGGAAAGGAACAACACTTTTTAATCCTATCCCAACATAATAGTGGCATACCTACTTCTTCTAGTTGCAGGGTTGGGGCCACATATATATTTAGAGTGTATGCGTGTACATATACGGTGGGTGGAGATAGAGATTGTATTGTTTTGGGTGGATTCTTTAATTTATGGAAATTATTGGCTACTGTTCAGACAGAACAGTGACCAGTAATGTCCATAAACTAAGCATTTTTTTCTGTAATGAGACAGAAAACTATATAGTCCGACTTAGTAGTTAGAGCTTATGTAGACCTGTAGGTATGTCTACACAGCATTTTGGCGTTTGTGGGAGCAGACCTCCCAGTCTGGGTCAACAGATCTGGGCTAGCGAGCCTCGCACTAGTGCTCTTAAAAAAAAGCTGTGTAGACAGCACTTTGAAGATGTTACTTGGGCTAGGATGTGGGCCTCAGACCCTGAGTCACAACTTCAAAGCGCTGTCTATACTGCTATTTTTAGAGCGTGCCACAAACCCTGTAGGCTCAAGCCTATTGACCAAGGCTGGAAGGCTTGCTCCAAGATGCTGTATAGACAAACTCATAAGGACTTAGACATGTCTCTTCGGATTTATATTACATGCATGCAGTTGCATTTACCATGGAACTTGGTTATGACCCCAACACACACTTGGAAAAATTCATATTATTGTTGATTTGAGATGGTGCTAACTAACAGTGTGATCTTGCAGCCCTTCTGTCCCGTTTCAGGGTGTGAGTAAGGACTTTAGGATAAGGCCCTTAGTAACTTCTCAGGTAGTAAACTGATCTCTTTATGGGTTAGATGTTCACTTGTAGCATACTCTGTGTAATTTAAGGCTTTATCTACAGAGTTCCAATGATATAAGTAAAGGAGTAAAAGTAAATTGATTTAGTTAAACCAGTGTGAACCTTGGTGTAGACACTCTTTTTGTTTGTGTCTTATTTCAGTTTAGCTTATGTTGATCAGAAATAGGTTTAAACTAAACCAAAATAAGTTTGCCGTATAAGGGGTGGCACCAGTTCAACTAAACCAGTACAAATGTATGGATGGACAAGTTTTAGACTTAGTGTTTTTTGTTTTGATATTGTATGTTAAGATGTATATATTGTGGTCTAGTCCAGGTACAAAAGAATGGAGATTTGTGCAAAGAATGCTTTGAAGACCTCTGAAAAAAGTGTGTCCGCTTTATTAAATCAGATACATCAATGCAGGTAACTAGTTTGCTATGTGCCAAAAACAGCTTAAACTTTGCATGAGTTTTCTAGTAATCCTTAAAAATGAATGCCTTTTGTAATAGAACTTGGCAGTAAAGTGTTGCACTTCTTAGGGTTACAAAACAAAATGACAGTATCTGACTTGTTTAAAAAGCAACAACATTGGGAGCAGAGCTCCTGTGAAGTTCACTCGTTTGTGATGAATGGGGCTGTTCACGTATAGGCGAATCCCTCCCGAACTCGTGGAGCTGTATGTGTAGGCAATGTCGTGCATGACCAGGGCTGGCTCCAGGGTTTTGGCCACACCAAACAGACCAAAAAAAGAAAAGGAGAGAGGGAAAAAAAAAAGCCGCGATCGCGACCTGTGGCGGCAATTCAGCGGGAGGTCCTTTGCTCCGAGCGGGAGTGAAGGACTGTCCGCCGAATACCTGGACATGCCACCCCTCTCCGGAGCGGCCGCCCCAAGCACCTGCTTGCCAGGCTGGTGCCTGGAGCCGGCCCTGTGCACGACCCACTTTCCCTGCAAGGGCAATGCGCATGGAGTCAATGCAAAGGGTACTGGAGCCAAGAGAATGGACAACAGAGGCATTTTGTGTGCCATTGACTGGCAGGCCAGGTTAAAAAGTATGCTTCCATTAAATTATTTTTGTTTGTTATCCTCAAACGGCATCACTTGCCTCCCGTTTAAATAGAAGTCAATTTCTAGAAAGCTCTTCATACTCTTAATGTCATCTTTATAGTCAGTTAAGCTGTTGTGCTTAACTGCATAAATATAAATCTAATTGTATATGTATGTATATAAATAATGCACAAGCACAGTTTGGGATCAATATTGATACAGAATAATCATGAACATCTCTCACGTATATGCTCGCAAATGTGCATCAGTGTGTGGGATTTGGCAGTGTGAAATAGTTCCAAATTTGTGGCAAGTATTACACCTTTAACTTATAAACTACACGGGATGCAAGTACTACCCATTGTATCACTGTTGTATAAAATATATCGCTTACATGGTATTATGCCCTTGTCTTGATGAAAGTACATGCAGAAGCAACGATAAAAATCTGTTAATTTCTCTCACAGAAGTTTAGAGCGGGTTTATAATAGAAAACTGCTGTTGTGCCTTTGTACACTGATTTTTCTAGAACCAGTCAGAAATGGGAACCGCTACTTAACAGGAAAAAAAATCAAAACTTTTGGTCTTTATTTCTAATTATGAAATTTTGTCAGTTTTCAGATTTGAAAAACTTCACCCAGCTCTTAGGTTACTTTCTCTCTGTCACTTTCTAATTCAGTAGAATATTTTTAATTGGGAAAACTTGGTGAATGGCCTTGTGTCCCCACTAACAGACATGCTTGATCAGCAACAGGCTCCATTTTAATAGTGATATCGCTGGATAGTTCCATGGAATTAATATACTCTTCAGAGGAGCCGGGCTGATGAAGTTGTTGTCCTGTTGTGCCAAAACCCACTGTAAAATGGGCTTAAAGCATGCGTTTGCACCTTTGGCCCACTGACTTTAGTGGTGCTCACGAGCAGTAGGAGTCAGTGGCTTTTATAATTGCCTGCTATGAACATCTATGGTACGTATTGTTCATGTACCTACCTAAAAGCCGTAACCTAGGAAGGTAAAGCCTTTACGTTCTATAACCAATCCCCTGAATCCTCTAATCCCCATGTGTGCAAATTATTCTTGCTTGCTCATGTGTATATGGCTGTGGTATCTTGGCAATGTATGTCCCTGGGGATAGTTCCGGGGGGGAGGGATAGCTCAGTGGTTTGAGCATTGGCCTGTTAAACCCAGGGGGGAGGGATAGCTCAGTGGTTTGAACATTGGCCTGCTTAAACCCAGGGTTGTGAGTTCAATCCTTGAGGGGGCCACTTGGGGATCTGGGGCAAAATCAGTACTTGGTCCTGCTAGTGAAGGCAGGGGGCTGGACTCGATGACCTTTCAAGGTCCCTTCCAGTTCTAGGAGATGGGATATCTCCATTAATTTCTCTTTTTTATTTCTAATTTCTTTTATAGTTCTGACTTGAGAAATGTACCTGCTTTTGCCTTATTTCCAAGAATTTCCTTATGTTTACCTTTGCAATATGTTGCCCTTGCACTTGTCTGAAGACGTATACTCCGTTTTTTGGCATAGTATTTCCTGTGCTGGCTATCTTGTAACACATTGTTTATGTTCTGCTAAATAGATATTTTTAAAAAATCAGCTGATGTTGGGTTGGAAAGAAAACACCTGCTTTTGTTGTTGTTTTCTTTTTTCCTTACAAAGCCTGCAAAATACATAAAACAACTTGCAGCAGTCATCTGCTGTCTTGTGACACTGCATTTTAAAGATGTTGAATTTATATTTATTGCCTACAGACTGAATAAATTGGAGAACTTCCACAAGGTGGTTGTCCAAGAACTTGCCAATCTTGAGAAGGATGCTCAAATTTTATCCATCCTTGAGAAGGACACAGTGGTGTGTATGTCTTAATTTGTTTTTGACCCATACATGGATTGTATGTCCAGTTCCAAAATAACACATGTACTCTTTGGGAAACTCTTGTAGGACTTTTGGAATAAACAGTCCATCAAACTGAGCTCTTTCTGTAATCATCAAAAGCAAAGGTATTTATCTTCCAGCTGTCTTTTAAATGTGTCATTTTAGAGATAGGAAATATCTTTGCTCAGTCTTAGTCATCTAGTTAAATGATCAGTTCTGATGCTGGTCATTACTTCTGAGACAAAGTAGGCGAGGTAATATCTTTTATTGGACCAACTTCTGTTGGTGAGAGAAACAAGCTTTTATTCTGTTTTAACCAGTGCTGCTTGGAAACCTGTAACTAACAGATACGGACCAGAGCAGCAAAATTTGGATTTAAATAGTTCCATAGTTTTCAGGTGTTTGGATCTGAGGTTTTGGTACAGGACCACCTTTATGTTGCTTACATGTGCTTGAAGTAACTTACTTTGGTTAGCAGGTTTCGCAAACTGTAATGTGGTGGTAGTTCTTTGCAGGCTTCCCTGGAGTTTTGGTTTTGCATAAACCCAAAATGCAAATGAAACCCTTGACTCCCCCAAATTGGTCCTTACACCTCCTTACCACCTTAAAATAGCTTGTCAAGTCCAGCATCCTTGCTCCAGTATCTTCTGTTCTGGAGCAGTTGGCCTCTGACTGGGATTTTTGAGGAGGTGCCAGAGGGCTGGTCCCTATCTTCTGTATTTGAGAGCATGTCTGGTATGCATTTACCCCCCAAATTTCTGAAATGGTTTTCTTGAGGAGGCTGGAGGCTCTCGCTATTCAGTCTAGGTAACAGTGGACAAAATTAAAGCATGTTCACTCTGTGGCTAACAGTGAGAGCCGTGTGCACTTGGTACTAGGGTTTTCCTTATGCTAGCTATTGTGTTGGCCTTTGAGCTGCAGTTAGGTGAATCCCAGGAATTTATTTATGAAACAGTAAGCATGGACACACTGAAATGAGGCCAGCCAATGAGATTCTCCAAGTTTTATTTTTCTTCCAGGATTCAGTCTATGGATTCAGTATTGGAAGAAACTGCAAGGAGTTTTAAAGATACAATACAAAATACAAAGGTAGGTGCTGTACACCAGCCGCTTTGTATCCGGATTCTGAGCTGGGGAGCAGTTGATAAGCAAATGAAGTATGATTCTATTTGCTGAGGAATTGTTAATGAGAAACTTTTCCATTAAGTAGATAAGGCAAGACTATCCCATCTAGGATGTTTCATCGTCTGGCTCAACATGCTTTGGGATGGTTGGCTGTGGAACACTGTGCATATAAGCACAGTTCATCCTTCCCCAACCTATTAAACGGCTCGTTACAAGATCTGTTAAACATGATGCATGTTGATGATAAAACTTCAGCTTGTTCTGAAACAGACTCTAGATCAACCAACGTTGTTGAGATGAGATTTTTCCTAATTCATGTTTTTTGTCCCTTTTCTTGCCAAAAAGTCACCTTGGTGTTTCTTCTTTGAACAGTGAAATCAGCATTTTGTGGACCCAGTTAACCAATTCTGCAGTTTTGTATTATTTTTATGTGCCATTTTTAGCCTTTTGCCCAGTCCTTCTCGTCTTGCATTCATACCATGAAAGGGCCAGGCACAGTCATACCTCCTTCTAGTGCCCCCATGGGTCTCTACCATCACCCAGGGGGGACAAGGAAGGATTTTCCTTTCTGGGGCTCCTCTTGGGACTATTACTTATGTCTAAGATTTAATGGCATAATAGAGCCATTAATCTTCTAAAGTGCTAGAATAATACTTCTCCTGTGGTCACTTCATTATTTAAAGAGAATAACTGTAGAAGGTCACTTGCATTTTCTCTTGCCTCTGCCTGTTTCCTTTATTTTTTTAAAGCAAAATCCAAACCCTAATTTTTGTAAAATGTGAAAAATCTCTAAAATAAATACTGGTTCCTTTTACAGTAGGAGACGCTATAACTCATGCTGAATTATGACTCTACCAAGGATCTAAGCTACATATTTTTGCATAAGCCATTGAGCAGGTGATAGATTCCTATCAGGAGAATCTTTAACAGCGTGTTCAGATGAACTAAACATTCAAAATGTTATAGATGAATTACAAAGGTTTTATCAAGCTCCACCCCCACCCCACACACTAGTTCCACTGTTCATTTCTTATATGTAGACCTGTTTAAAGTCTCTGGCATAGCTTTAGAAGCTTGTGACCACTGCTTTAGTATTCCTGTGATGGTGGGATCTTCTGGTTTTCATGATTTGTGCATAATGCTATTGGTGTGCATGGTGCTTCAGGAACTCAAGAAGGCCAAGTCCCCATGCCAAGGAGGGTAAACCGTATGCTAGTGATGATAATTATACTAGCTAAAATGATGTTCATGTGGCACTTCAGAGAAAACCTTCTTTCACTTACATGTCAGATCCTGAATTCACGATTCTGTTTCCCATGAAACTGATGGCTTTGCAAGCACTTGCCAGTGGAGGGAGTGCAGCCCTTTGCTCTGTTGTGGGCAGCACTTTTGAAAGTGAAATGTAGAATGCTGAATCCTGGAGTTGTCACATCACAGAAGATGCTCAGTACCTTGCAGTATTATGCTCTTAACTGAACAATTGGCAATTAATTTTTTTTAAACAACCTGTGTTTTATTTTTAATTGATTTCTAAATTTCAATTAATTCCAGATTACTTTTGCAAGTCTTTATATTAATATGCTCATATTTTTTTCTAAAATACGTGTTTTTCTCCCTGCAGTATGAACATCCACAGGAGAAGGTGGAAGAAAATAGTAAGGTGTTCATTGTTGCTTCTGATTAACAAAACACTATTGTACTGTAAAACAATTTTTGAAGTCATCACACACCTTACAAAGTTCTATAGAAGAACTTTGAGTCTTGTGGAAAATATGGAAGATGTATTTTCCTCAATCTCTCCCCTCTCAAAATAATTACGATGCTATTTTTGACTTTTTTTAAAAGAAGGTGCTGCTAATTTCTCAGATGTCTCCTTCCATTGCAGTGCTACCTTTAGGTCCAACTTATATTTGATGAGTTTCAAGGATGAACAGAAATCCAAATACTTGATATACTTACACATGCTTTATATTAAATTGATGTAAAATGGATTGCATTAGACGTTTTGTTAATACCTTTACAAATAAACTCCTTTAGTCACTATAGGCTGCTCATTTTAATGATTTAAGCAACATGTTGCCCCCTTGTGACAATTAAATTCCCCTTCGTTTCTTTGTATTATAAAAAGGAGAAAATTTTCTCTAAATGAGGAAAAATATCAATTTCTCCATCTTTTTAACCCTTTAGTAACTTAAGAAAAGCCTGTTATTCTTATGTTTTGGTTAGCTGGGATGTATTAGCAGGGCCTAATGGGTAATCTAGGGTGCACCTCTGACTCTGTTGCTCACTTACCTCCTATGTGCACCTGATGTCAAGGGAGTTGCCATAATAGACTTTGAAATCTGAGCTCCAGTGCGCACCCCCACCCCCAATCCCAGCTGGCAGACTTCAAAGTCCACAAGGATGCCTCTCTTGGGTCTAGAAGATTCCATGCTCTTCACTGGGCTCCAGGTTTCCAACCCCAGACTCCCACCTCTCTAGCTTTGAAGCCATGGTCTTTCAGTTAGCACCTTCTACTTTGAAGCTGGCTGGCACTGGAGAGGCTCGTGTCTATGGCCTGTGGGAGCCCAAAACGCAGGGAAGAGAGAATGTTGGCTCTCAGGAAATGTTTCCTGGGCTTGGACAGAGCCTAAGCAAAGTTAAGTTAATGGAGACTCCTACTTAAATAGAGTTCAAAAATCATGTTTGCCCTGTACAGACAAACTGCATTTAATAGTTAATAGTATAGCAGAAAGTACAGGTCTGTCTCATCTTATGCGGGGGTTCCGTTCCACGGTTAGCGCGTAAAGCAAAAACCGCGTATAGTCAAAATTACATTGAGTTCAATGGCGGGCGGAATCGCCCGCACTACAGGTACAGTATTAAAATTGTTATTTTTCTCTTTTTTGTTTTTGTTTTTGCCAACCGCGTAAAGCTGAAATCGCGCATGTTAAATGCGGGTAAGATGCGACAGACCTATAGAGAGATACCGGGTGCCGGTATCAAGGACTTCACTGGAAACCTAAACTTGGTAAATTTGCAAGTTGCTATGGCTGTCCACAACCTTTCAAATTCCAGCAGCACTGAGACAGCCATTGAGAACAAGGATGACCTGGTCCCCCACAACCTTCTCCCCACCAGGACTGGCTCTGAAGGGTGGAGGAAGGGGTCTGTTGTGATATTTGGGCCTACACATTTACCATAATTGTGAGCTCAACTGTGAAAAGTGAGTGAAAATTAATAAAATGTCACAATAACCCATAACAAGAACTATTGATTGGGGGGGGGGGAGGGAACAAAAGAGAGACTGACTAAAGTAGTCCAAACTAAAAGCCCTGCTGATGTAACTCAAGGTCTGTGTTAAGATCATGCCTGGTAAATAAGAGAAGGGTAGGACTAGAAATCGATGAACCAAAATTGGCATGTCCAAAATTAGGCCTAACTGGTGGATAAATTAATGAGGGGATGGATTATTCCACTCATCGCTCCTTTTTGGGGGATCCTCAAAAAGAGATTGTGGGGTGGGGGGAGAGAAGTTGGCTACCATAATGCTGGCTGACTTAAAGGAGGGGATGTGAATGCTGGCTGAGTGAAAGATGAAAGAAGGGGAAGGCATGAGCTTCCATCATGACTACCACCCTGCCATCTCCTGAGACTTTCTTCTTCCTACTCTTGAGTGATGTCTTGTCCTGACCAAACCAGAGGGAGCCAGAAGGCTGCACCACCTCCACTGGCTTTAGCTAAATCCTGAACACAACTTGGGATGCGAGACACTCTTTCTCTTCCTCTTCCCTGCCATATTTTTTTTATCTTTCCTATCTCTCTCTCCTTTTGCTTTCTGTCTAACAGTAGTCTTGTTTAGCTGGCCAAGACTGCATAGTTTGCAACGCTGCTGTAAACGGTGACCAAAAAGGCAGCTAATGTAATTCCCTAAAAAGTCCAATGCTGATACAAGTTTGCCAGGTCTCTGAGTAGGAGATAAGACCATGAGCTGTTCCTGTTTTTTTCAAGCAGTGAATTTGCAAATGAGAGTCAACACCAGAGACAGAAGCTGCCTTTTCTATGTTCTTTTCTTTCCCCTTGTTTTGTCTGCTAGCAGAAGGGACTGGCCTCTTGCAACAACAGCCCATCTCTGCTAACTTCTTCCTCAAAAGGACAGTTTATTATCTTGAATGCCATTTAAAAGACTGTCAGGCAAGGGGTGGGGGGCGTGCAGGGAGGAAGGGTTCTTTTTAAAAAACCTCTGTCCAGCAAAAGGGAAAGGAAACAAGGGATGATCAAACAAAAGCCTTATTTAATACTTTGCATTTCAAATGCTTGAACTGATTTTCCTTCTTTATCTTTAATACAAGGTTTAAAAGATTTTTTTTTAATAGTGTAATTGCCATGGTAGTAAGCAGGCTGAGGTCTCTGTACACGAAACCCTGAACCTTCTTTTCAACTGTTTTAATTAGGGTTACCATACGTCCTCTTTTTCCCGGACATGTCCGGCTTTTCGGCACTCAAACCCCCGTCCAGGGGGAATTGCCAAAAAGCCGAACATGTCCGGGAAAATGCCGGCCAGGCACTTCCCCTCCCGCGGCGGCTCTGCTCCTCCCCTGACTCTTCGGTTCTGTTTAAGAGACAGGCTGCCCGAGCGCTACCGGCTTCGGGCAGCCCCCATGCCTCCGGACCCTGCGCCGCCGGAGCCCGGGAGGGGAAGTGCCCGGCTGGGGGGCGCAGGGTCCGGAGGCAAGGGGGCTGCCCAAAGCCTGAGTGCTACCGGCTTCACGGTTTGCTGGGCAGCCTCCAGACCCTGCGCCCCTGGCTGGGCACTTCCCCTCCCGGGCTCCAGCTGCGCTGGGGAAGCACCGGCCGGGGGCACAGGGTCTGGGGGCTGCCCGGCAAACCGTGAAGCCGGTAGCGCTCGGGCAGCCCTTTCCGGTGGCTGGGAGTGGGAGGGAGGAGGGGGCGGAGTTGGGGGGGGGAAATGGGCGGGGCCAGGGCCCGTGGAGGGTCCTCTTTTTTATTTGTTAGATATGGTAACCCTAGTTTTAATGTTGAAGAGTGACAAGGTCATATTAAAACCTCTCAATCTTATTCTATCCAAATTAATACAACATATTCTGATGGGATGTTTCTGCTTCCATTCCCCTAGAGATTTTAAGGAATTTGGGAGTGGCACTCAGTGGGATACAAAGTTATCCGTGGACTTTACTGACAGCAGCTAGTGTGAGGGTTTCAGCTGGCACAGAGACAAAGTGGGAGGCCAATATTAAGAAAATTGCTTCCAATCTATCTTAATATTTTGTGTTTCGCCCACAAGAGAGCTAGACCTGCAATGGTCTTGTGTGTTTATACAGCTTCAGTTTTCACAACTTCTGCCAGATGACTCCACGCACATTAAGTTCAGCACTTTTCACTTTGAAAATGATGGCGTATTGAATATCTCTTGAGCCGTTTCAATGAGGCGTTTTGAATATGCACCCAATGCCATGGAATTGGGCTTGTCATGTGGAGCTCAACTACAAGCACCAATTTAAAATAATCGCATTGTACTTATGTACAGAAAGCTCATCAGCTGAGTTTGTCCATATTGTCTTTTTAAATGGAGTAATGTTCTCGTGAATTGCTGCTATTTAAACTTTTAAACAAAAAATGTATTTGCATCAGATCACCTTCAAATGTGCCTTTGCAAAAATGTTAAATGAGCTTGATTTGGGGCCTAAATAGTAATGAAACTGCTGGAATTTTATATGAATTGCAGAATTCTCATGGCTAGTTTTCAAGTTGAATTTAATTAGTGCAGATTTATAAATGATTTATATGAAGTTCAAAGCTTTATAAAAACTGTCTGGCTAACGGTGACAGTTAAAATCAAGGGAATATTTTGCTGTAAATTACAGAGCGTTCATAACCCAAACTACTTTTGGTATGACCCAAATCTGTCAGTGTCTAATTTCATCATAGTTTGCCTCCTTGGAGATTATTCTATTCCTGCCTATGAAGATCATGTAACATAGTGTGTAGTCTGTGTCTCTTTGCACATTGATCATTTACTGAAGATCATATCTACATCTTGATAGCTTTAGCTGATGAGCTGGAAGCATGATTCCTGTTCTGGTGGCGGGGAGGGAGAGGAGGGGAAGAGGAAACCGCTACAGATAAACACTGTACTCGCTATTCCTGAAAAGGTTGATGGAAAAATTAAAACCAAAAATGCCCCTCCCACCTGCGGGAAGGTCAGTGCAGCTTTGTAAGTTCTGGGATTGTATTTTCTGACATACACACACTACCGAATATATTGTGCAGTAACACTTCTGTTTGCACATAAATGCTGTGATATCTCTTTTAGAATCATTATCGAGTGGTCCAATTTCATAAGTGCAACAGAACAATTTGGAGATGATTTAAGCAAACAGAGCAGACCTCTGAGAATAGATAAGATGTTGGTAATGAGTTTTTGTTTGCTAAAAGGATGGAGTAGATTGTTGATAATTTGTACCATCAAGTGTTTGACCGCACTCTGGTTTGTTATGGGATATACTGGATACAAAATAACCAATGTCAGTCAGGTTTATTGCTATAGTCCAAGAATAATATGGTACAGGAAAATGGTTTTATGCGATTCCAGTCTCTGGGAAGCTGTCTAATGCAATGATGTTGCATTTACCTTACACAGAAGGTGTGCTTCCAAAGTTACACCTCACAAGTAAAAGGTACTGT